TTAGGTTATCAGTGCAGCAGTCATGAATTGTTTGAGATCAGGAGGAGTGCACTATTCAGTGTACTGATGAACAACATCCTGATGTGCCTGGCTATTAAAACGTGGAACATATCGATGTGCCTATCTAAGTAGCTTTATTATGAGAATTAAGTAGTATGCTTGCAACATAAAGAGTAAAGAGCAATGATTAGATTGCTTTAATTAAAAGTTAACAGTATATGGGAAGAAAGCACAAAGCTAGAATTAAAAATCCTAAATTTTGATACTCCTTTTCTGGAGTATATATAGTTCATACAGTATTTTTCTCTATTTATTTCTATTGAAACTTAGAATAATAAAAATTAATACATACATAATAAAATTAATGCCTACATGGATATTCTTTTCTAAGATAAAGGCTTACCGTCCGGTTTTACTTAAAAGCGTATAACGAGTTTTTACAAACCTACAGGGATGTATTTTATACAAATCTATTATATATTTAGTGAAAAGATAAAACCTATTTTAATTTGTTAAAACCAATGAACCAACATAAAAACTAAATTAAAATGCATGACAAACCTTTATTAAATAAATACCACTATTCAGCATTACGATAGGACATGATGTCGCTTGGATATCATATTATATAGTACTCTTAATATTTTAAAAGTTGGTATTATACCTATTCTGCCCTATTCTGCCCTTCAAACGGTACCACAAAATGACGGTATGGATTAAACTAGTATTGATTGAACCAGTGGCGAATCCACCGTTGGGTTGGTCTGTGCGCCAGCCCTAGCTCTAGCTGCAGGATCGAGACCTGATATTTATGTATGAGTTCGTTCACAACGCTGGAAAAATTTACAGGAGCAAGCAAGCAACTAAGTGATGATGCTGGTTGGCTGCAGGGGTTAGGCCATGCAACGATGAGTATCTGTCATTAATATGCTCTTTATTGCTAGCCGATAGGACCATTTGTGATCATCAGATCATGGATCATTTTTACCCTTATTGTAGTTGTAATGTTGCAGTCTGCAGCTGAATTTGGTGTATATCTTCCAATATTCTTCAGGTCTCTCTGATCCACTGTGTGTTCTTTTTACTTTATCTGCGTATGATTTAGAAATTTTATTGACATAGATCACGGATGCATGAAGATTTTATATTTTCATCCTAGATTCGCCATGATCGAACGTGACACAGCACTAAAACAACATCATTTTTTCAATAGGATTTGATGCAATACTTTAAGATCATGCACTGCGCCTTGGCGCATGCCGTCGTAACGTGTGGAGAGGGGAGTTGAAATTCAGCACCCTTCTTGTCAGCATGGTAGAGGGACCCATATATTTACATCCTCTACAAAATGTTTGAAAGTATTTTTTTGAGCTCTTAAAGGTACATGCCTTTACTTGGTATACATACAATCCAAAATACTATGAAGAAAATTTACAAAATATTTAGTGAACATATATAGCAGTGCCAAGATAAAATTTTTATTCACAAGTTACTTTTTGTTTGTAAATATGCCGTTTCGCTTATTCCGCGAATAAGTGAAATGATGGCTCTGCAAATCAAATCATGACTACGAAAGTATAGCTACATTCAAAGTTACATTGAATTTGTTGTTTTTTTTTCTCCGTTTCCAGCAATACATGACACAATAATTTATATTGTAATCCACTTCCCTACAGTATTGTGATGCATTTAGAGTCATCTCAAACTTTAGTTGCATTTAGAGTCCGAAGAGTAGATATATCTGGACCAATGAGAAGGGCTAGCTAGTCGTACGGATAGATGGTACGAGATTGTTGTCCTTTTGGAGCTATGGTTTGTATATATTGTTCATGTTTAGGACTTCTATACGAAATCTATAGTAAACCATATATATGCTGTAAGAATGTCTAAGAGAATGAAGACTTCTTATTGGATTATCTGCGCTCGTCTTTCCCAAACTACAGTTATATTAATTGTTTAAGTACGGTAGAGATACCCATATGACTTGATTTTTTTTTAATTTCAACGTATAACTTACTGCTGATCCATATATACTATATGGGTATATCCTGCACATTGTAATTATGTGATAATATAGTAGATATGAGTTCTAAATTTTTTTTCTTATCTACTATACAATTTTCTTTCATGTGCTTATATATTTTTGTTCCTTGATTAATTATCCAAAGGTTATAAATGATTGGGTTTGTATGTTGTGGCTTTTAGATGAAGAGATACAATTTACATCATTGATGAATTATTCAAAGGCTAAAAATAATTGAGGTGACGTGGTTTCATGATAAAAGAGAGAATTAGCATTAACTATGTGGGAATAAACTTTAACGATATATATAACCCTTAAACCATCAAATAATAAATCCTTAAGAAAATAGAGCCTCTTTATTCTATTAGAAATATGCATATGACATATAATCATCGTAAAAACTAAAATAAATCATGCTTGCTCCATGTTTAAATATTGGGGCAATTGTAAATTTACCACTATTTTAAATCGTTATTGCAAAACTATCACTAGAAAATTACAGAAATGCCAATAAAACTGTCATTCGAGTGGTATTCTTACAAAATTGAAAAAACCAGTGGCAAATTTACAAATGCCCCTTAAATATTCTTCCTCGAGTCGTGTCCTCTTTCGTAGCATTACCTATAGCCTATAGGTGTTCATCATTTCTAAACAGATTACACCTCCTCATATATCAATATTTATCATAGCAATATGTGCCGCCCAAACTAAAACCAATAGTAAAGTGAGAGTAGAAATACAATTAAGTATTTCCTCTATTTCAAATTACTCATTGTTCTAGATTAATTTGTCCTAAGTGAAACAGTTTAATCTTTGATCATCAATTTCAATAAACTTAAACTTTTATCATAAGATTTATATTTTGAATCATTACATTTTTTTAGAGAAGGGTATTTTTTACCCGGCCTCTACATTCAACCGGATATATGCAGCCTTTCAAATTAGGAACTTTAGCCTATCAAACAGGAAACTTAGCCCTCAAATAACACAATCTGAAATTCGCTCTTATGAAGATTTGAACTCAGGACCTTGGGGTGCTACTCAGGTCACTGCAACCACTTAAATGAAATACATTCATAATATATGATTCATATGTCGTTAAAATTCTATTATCTACTAAAAGTCTATTAACTTTCCTACAAACGCTCCCAAGCTGTCACATGACCTCCTACAAACTCTCGTAAGCCGCCACATGGCGCTCTAATAAATTAGGAAAAAAAGGTGGACCCACTAATTAATTTTGCCAATTAAATCTCCATCTAAAAGAAAAAAAATCCGGTATCCCCACCACCGTACGCACGCACGTACACGTACTCCCCTCCACACCCTCCGAACTCTCCCCTATCTATATTACCCATATTTAATTATTTAAAAATTAAAAATTAGAACATGTGACCTCTATCTAATTATTGAGTTTTTATATGATTTTGTCAGTTAAAAAAACAGAGGAGGTGAGGAGCGAGAAGGACAAATAGATACGTACTTACATGCACGTCTGACGTACATGTCTCAAGTACGTCTCACGCCTTTTTATTTTTTAAGATAATTCTAACTATATAAAATAATGGGTCTCTCATCTTTAAGTTAAAATCGATAGTTAGACTTTTTTTTTAGATTTTTTATGATTTTATCTGATTTATTATACTATCACATGATAGTTTAGTAGCGTTTGTAGAATCATACGTGGAATGTATATGCTTGGCGCTCTAATAAATTAGAAAAATCCTAGAAAATCAGAGAGAAAAAAAAACATTCAACCTTCAATTTTCACTTAAATTGGTGGACCCGTTATTTTAAACCGTTAGATTAGATCTATTAAAACTCCCACGCTGCTAATCTCCATCCCCAAAAAGAATAACGTACGTACGTATAGTTCGTACGATCATCTCACTTTGTGGAAAAAAAACTTAATTACCTACGTCATATACTATGGAGAAAAACGATAAATCAAACAATATATCAATAGTAAAATCAAAGAAATACTAATCAAGAAAAAAACATCAAACCGGCCGTCCGGCACTTATGTGTTGTCAATAGCCTTTAAACTACGATTTTGTTAAAAATAATACTACACAGAAATAAGTAGGGGGCAAAAATTATAACTATTTTCATCACCTCCTCCTTTCTGTCCCTCTCCGTTCTTCAATGCAGGGTATAGTATTTACTATGCTATCGTAAATATTACAAGGGTATACATATGGTTGAGTTAAGGTGGCATCAGTGAAAGGCTACTGTAGGCAATGTATATAAAGGGACATACTAACTAATAGAATCATTTGTGGGTGTGCCAATAGTGAATTAAGTGTTAAATGATGCTATAGGCTGGTCTTTGGGGGCACGGCTATGTCGATGTGGGACTGATGTTTCATGGCATTACATAAAAAAGCCTGGGTAGATATAGTCGACCTTATCCGTTAGAGAGACATTCATGTCTATTTTTAACGGTGCTATTGTATTATTCGATTGAAGTGGTATGTTTAGACTATTTATACATAAATGTGGAAATAAGTAATGAACACCAAGTTAAGCAGTGTAGATGATTTTTAGTGTATTAATAATGTATAATTTATTTTAGTGGTATTAATGTAGTTTTATTAAAAATGCACATAGCTTTTGAAGCAAAAACAATAGAGGAGTTTATATATGACCATGACAAAGGGATTTTTATTTAAATATGAGAGATATTCTTATTCTTATCATATTTAGTAGTGTATTAAAATCTACCATCTATTTTACGGTAAATATATTTTTTTTATTGTTAGATAATTTACATTTCCTTAATTACAGTGTATACAGTGATGTATGGTTTATTTTACCATTTTTTTCTTTAATAAAAAATATTCTCTGGCTTATATCTCACCCTTATAGTGTTTGAAATACAGCCCTACTATACGTATTCGCGCGAATGCGCGGGCTACCTTCTTTGTTAATGGTAAAAGAAAAACATGTTTAACTTAAGACAAAGCTAGAACGACGGTTAATTTGAAACAGAGGTTGCAGTAGCAGCAGCAACATCATCATCGTCAAGCCACCGCCCGGCTATATATTTCACATAACCAAACGACCAAATTAACATGAACAACCCATATATATATAGGACACCATGCGTAAGCACAGCAACACAGATTCCTACATAGCTATGGCTCTACTAACCACGTACCAACGTGCTGACATCACACATAGTTGACACTTTCGTCATCGATCCTCGTTGCCCTAGCCCTAGGCGCCATGAATAATGGATGTGAAGCTCGATCGATCAAACTCTGAGGAGGTAGATGCTGAGCTCCGGGCCGGCGTTGCCGTCGGGGCTGACCATGTAGAACGCCTCCGAGTCCCTCGACCCCACCACCCTCTCGAACCTCGCTCTCATGTACATCATGTCCCCCTCGCCGCCGGCAACGCCGCCACCGTCGGGGAGCACGCCGGCGCCGACGGTGACCGGCTCGACGGCGCGCAGCACGCGCCACTCCTCGGCGCCGCACTCGCGGCGCACCGCGTACCCGCACTTGCGCCCGTTGCAGTACGCCCGCCACGTCGTCTCCTCCATCAGCGCCGCCCGCCGCCGCTTCTCGCCTGCGAATGATCGATCGATGCGTGCGTGAACACAGGACGAACACCATGGGGGGGTGGGAACAGGAGGAGTTTGTGTACGTACCTGGGTTGGTCGGCGGCGCCGCCTTCTCGCACTCGAGGGCGAGGCGGACGAGGCCGGAGGCCATCTCCCTGACGAGCGCGCCGGTGGAGTAGCCGGCGAGCTCGAGCATCATCGCCGGCGCGGCGCGCGGGTCGGTCTGCAGCGCGAGGTGCACGCGGCCGCGGAGCCGGCCGAAGACGGTGCCGGTGAGCACCCGCGCCGACGCCGACGACCCGCCCCCCGCGCGTCGGCCGCCTCGCCGCGCGCGCGCCAGCACGGACAGCACAGCCGCCCGCAGCCGCGCCAGCGCCGCCTGATGATCCCCTCTCTTCCTCGGCGACGCCCCGGCGGCGGCGGCGGCGGCGGACCACGACGGCGTGGACAGGTAGGGCGTGGACACGAAGAAGAAGTCCTCCTCGTCCTCCACCTCCTCGCCGTCGTCGTCGCCGGGTCCCAGCTGCGCCGCCAGCGGCTGCCGCGCCCTGTTCCTCCTGCCGCGCTTCCCGAACAGCCACTGGAAGCCACCGCCGCCGCCTCCGCCGCCGCCGCCGGCGGGGCTCTTGGCGGAGGAGGGGAGCGGCGAGGCTCGCGGGGAGAGGGGCCTTGTTTCCATGACGCTCATGCGTGCATGGATGCACACTAGTGTGGTAGTTTACGCGGCAAGATGCAAACCAAACCACAATATATGAAGAAGCAGGAGGGAGCTTAGCTTAGGCTTAGCTAGGTAGGTAGCAGCTTTTGGCACAAGAATCTGAGTGTAGGCTAAGAAGCAGCTTGTTAGTAGCCTACGAGAATTCACAGAAGCCGAAAAACCTAGCTTCTGAATTCTAGTTTATTTTCTAGATTTTATAACTACAAAAATCCAAAGTGTTTAGGAAAACTTTGAGCTCTTAGGTTTAGGGCGAGAAGTGCTTTTGGCAGGCAGGCAGAGAGTTGGGGACACCCGGGTGGCCTGCATAAATACACTTAGCAGAGGGACAGGAGCACAAAGCAGGGAGAGGAGAGAAAGATGAGATGATATGATGGTGATGCATGGGTGGTGGTGGGCGGAGCAGGCGGACCAACGCCTACCAAATGGACCAAATTATTAATCACTAGATAGGCTGTGCATGCCTGCGTGTGTGCAAGCAAAGGGCAAATTAAGGGGTGTTGACGAGAGAAGCCGTTGGTTTTTCCTCTCAGATGATCCTGTGTTTCTACTAACTGTTTTTTAGGGAGGAGGAGGAGGAGGAGACAGGGCATTGGGACGTGTGACAGTGACAGGGCTATTACTGTGCGTGTCACACAAAGCATGACGTTCGTACGTACGTGTGTGGGATGTAAGTGGAACCGTCGACAACAGCGCCTCGCAGTCGCATCTCCTCCCAGAGCTAGTGGCCGAGCCACGAAACTTTCATACGTAGAGCTAAGCTAATAAAAACTTAAACTTTTCATAAACTATATACTCCCTCTACTCCATTTTAAATGTAGTTATAGATTTTCGTATCCAACGTTTAATCGTCTGTCTTATTTAAAACTTTATAAAAAAGTTAAAAAATAAGTCACACATAAAGTGTTATTTATGTTTTATCATCTAATAACAATAGAAATACTAATCATCAGAAAAATTTAAATAAAACGAACGGTCAAACGTTAGATATGTAAACCCAATTACACTTAAAGTGGGACGGAGAAGTAGCTCTTATAAAAAAATTACAATGGGATTATAGGGCTAAGCATAGAGCTTCGACCCTAGATGTTATCACACCCCATCATCTTTGCTTGTGAAAAAATATAGTATTGAACTCTTGATTATAAATCCCACAACTTAATCTTACTATGGTAAAATTAATGATTTTGCATCGTTTTTTATTAATTAGCCTTGACTATTTTTTGTCTTTCTAAGACACCTATTCATTGTTATACACGCAACATCTTCCACATCTCCTTAACACTGTTAAGAGAGATGGATATCGGTAGAACATATTTATTCTCACTAAAATTTTATTTAAAGCTCATATTGTTAACAACAAATTTGGTAATTCAAGTATCGAAGATGAAGATAAAACTGAAACGGAATCCAAGATGGAGATCGTTCCGGAAACAGAGCGAGGATCGGCTAAAATCCGAATCGGTTGCGATCAGGATCGGCATACTTCGAGTCGGACAAGGTTAGCCGATTAAGCCGATTCCGACAATATCGTTGTCGGGTTAAGTTAATGTGCTTCATGTGGATTGCCATGCATGGATTGAGTCCTGAGAAGACAATTGTATCTATTAATTAGGATATTTTATGTAATTTCCTTAGAGATAAGTTTGGGCAAAAGTCTGCCGTAAAGACTTATGGTATCTTAGAGTTTGTTAGAGATAAGAGACGTGTCCGACAAGGACATATTTTGTATATCGGGTATAAATATGACCCGAACCCATGTAATCAAACAACACACGTTCAATAACAATCTCGGCGCATCGCCAACCTTTTATTTTCGACGAGTTCTTGCTTTCGGGTTGAGCTGCATCGGTTTCGATCTTCAAGTAGAGGTAAACTTGTCATGGCGGCTTGCGTTCTCGGGATTAGTGCTTCCATCATTATGATACTCTAATCTTGTTTATGTAAGTTGTCGAGTTATCATATATCTATATAATCTTCGACAATATCGTTATCTAACCTTCAACCGGCTAACATCTATCGTTAGGAGGCAGCCGATTAGGTTAAATAATAACGTTGGCTTAGATTATATAGGGTATCTACCACCTTATGAAACATCCAATAGCTTGATTGTCTAGATATTGTTCTTCTTTTTATACTTATAGCTGTATCAGTTAAGTTTGACCTTATAAGTCGTGATTAGAACCATAATCTCTAGCCTGCTTTTGGTTGTCGATTAGGGTAGTATCGGGGTTTCAGCTGATTTTACCTGATTTAGCTTTATATCTTATGTGCTTAATTGATATGCTAGATCTGCTCTTTATGTTAAGATATTACTGCATTTAGGTATATTAAGCTTCTTATTTGGTATATTTTGCTTGCTTTAGTATCTCAATATAGAGTTGTATCGGAGTATTAGCCGATACATGTTAGATCTATCTGATCGGCTACGCTATGAATGCTTATAATGTTCTCGTTAATATATATTTCGATCTAAGTGATTTATATTGTCTCGGCATGGCGACCGATCTATCCCAATCACTTGATTTAAGTATATATCGACATCAAGATTATATTTCATTAGTATCCACAGACGATCGAATATATTTAGTTCTTTCTTGCCTGTTTATGACTACCGATCGACTCAAATATGACATCGGCTCAAAGATAAATGATACATCATCGGCGACTGGCCGATCGGCTATCATTTATGGATTTAATGACGGTTTCTTTGTCTTTATTCCTTGTTGATTGCAGGATCAAATCAACTGGCACGCTCACGAACCTAAAGGCAAGATTTTTGATCCTGCACTGAAGTTAAGCAAATCTTTCAGGCCTCGTGTTTTCGCATCAACACACATATATGTACGTAATATTTGTGTCCAATAAATCCTAATGACTAGTTTTGCATCGTTTAAGAGTAGGAAGCTCTTAAAATTGATTTTCGTTCTATCAGTCACATGTTCTTATAAACCAGTCTGAAGCTGACTTATGTACCTTGCCCAAGCGAAACTGCTCGATGGATCGATGTTATCCTCTGAATTGGGTAGTACATGCATGTAAATTAATCAACCACATGAACATCCCATCACAACGAAAGATGGATCGATGCTACTGCATGCTGAAAGCGTCGATAAGAGTTATCATAACAATAATAAGGTTTCGTCAATGCCGTATCCCAGAAGATGCAGTGTGGAATTAATGCTGCTCTATATATATACGTTTATCTTTAATTATGTTTGTCAATAGTGTGGCGCCAATGGATTGTGGATCGATTAGTGAGATGTTCTGAGGTCATTTACAAATGAGATTAGCACAGATGGCTTCCACCTAATGTCTGAGCGATGCTGCATATATATAAAACTATGAGAGTACTAATCATGATTAATCACTAAGGGCGTTATATTATATTTAGCCAGCATGTATATATTGATCAATAATTATTGTCTCATCATGCATGAAAAGTACACATGATTGCTCTATGTCTGACATTTATTTTATTATAGTTCCTTTTTTTAATAAAGTCGCATCTTGCATAGTCACATTGCAGAACCAGCCGGCCGTATGAAACTTTGATGCATGCCTGCATCAATACCTTATATCAATCAAATTAAATTAGCACATGCAAAGGAAAGTTGGTAAAGAAATACAACACCATGCCAGTTGCACGAAAATAATCAAAAAAAAACTCCAATTAATATACCTTTTATATCATACTGATTTACTATCATGATCTTGAATGCTGAATTAGAAATCAGTTGCAACTAAGCTGCCAGTATATTTACCTAATTATAAGTTTACTGAAAGATAATGAATGACTCTAAAATATATACAAACTGATGCTTCATTTCGATTTCAGACAAAGAATTAGTCAGCGAAACAAACTTGAAGTTTATCCCAAGTTGCAACATTTTATCATTTCTTGGTCAAATCCATGATGCAAGCTTAGTAGGACAAAGAAAAAATCGCTACTTTAATGGTTGATTCCAATCTTGACACTATACTCCAAGTATCTTTCGCTCTAGGTTTGCCAAAGAGCACAGGAACGTGGTCCTAGTGTGTGTATTTTACTATTTTAGCAATAAAGTCATGGTTGCTTCAGTAGAAAGACCAAAGATGTTTGGAACTTTGGGTGTATATATAGTTCGTTGCCATAATTCTGTGGTAATAAGTAAAAATACAGAGCACACCGTAGGTGAGTTCAATTTCTTCATTGACTTTATTTGAATGTAGTCATTTCGAATTCTGCACCATTTCTGTTTTAATAAGAGGATCGAAGCATCTCAAATTCTCCGCGGTTTCTACAGGGTTGCCACAGGTTTTATGCAGTGGTTTTTGTGCACATATTTTTATATAAGAATTCAGTTTTTGTTCACTAAACCACCATTTTGTGTAGTTCACATTGAGATCATAGCTCAAAACAACGCCAGGTCGAAAGATAGCAGAGGATGAAAAATCAATCAGTGCCAACGTTCCCTGTAGAATGTGCAGCTGGAGATAACACGATCACGCATCAAAAGACAAATTCCGGCCATACGCCGCAGGTTTTACAGTCTGTCTGTCCTGCCATCATCATGTATGCATGGCCTGCAAAAGACGCAAAGGAAAAAAAAGGAAGAGCAAATCAGAGGAATACAGACAGAATAAAAGCCTTATAGCCTCTCAATGTAGCAGCAGCATGCATATTAGCCTATAGGCAGGGCATAAACATGCCTGATCCAAGGAAAGCAGCAGAGCAGACATCAAGCAAAAGGCAAACTGTTGGCAGATTTTGGCTCAACAGAATTTGCCATGTAAGTAGCATGCATGCTTGCTTTGTGCCTTTCATATTGACAGCCTGCATTTTGTGCCAAAGGTAAAGGAGATGTAGAGAGCAGTCACCATCTTCCTATCTGTCTCTCTAGACTCGAGTCACCACCTTTACTTTTGTAGCTTTTTTTGAAAATAATAGTTTTACACATTGCACATTTGTTAATATGCATAAATGAAGTGGTAAATCTGTCTCAGAAAAAAAAATCCCATGATTTAGCATGGAGTTAAAAATTTTGCATGCTACAGTTTCACCAATAAGGGGCTACACAGAACAGGGAAGCTCATCTGAAGCCATACCGCAGCTGGCTGATATAAGATTCTTCAGCAGTTGATATGGTACAAATCAGCCACATGTTTTGTTCACCTCCTGTGGTGGTAGTGCCTATCATGCCTGTCTCTGGAATGGCGCGATGACGTCTCTGAGCTCGTGCTGTACTGGCTTGAGTACTGTCGGCTTGAGTAAGCATGCGGTGTCCAGGCACCATCATCGGCTGGCAAATTTTCATATCCTGAAGAGCTTCTCCATCCTCTATCTGGGTGAGACCTTCCATGACTGGGGCTTGCTGGTCCGTAGTCATAGGAGTGATATCTTGAATAACGATCAGCACCAGGAGGGCCTCTATCTCGTTCTTCTCTCGAATCTGAGGAATGATAGCGCTCTGAGTACTGAGGCGGAGTGCTGTCCCAGAGCCAGCGGTCACCATTTTCTGGAATGGGGCCATTTATTCCAGGGAATTCCACCGTCTTCTTTTTCCGAGGAGGGGATGGTTCACCTTGATCCGGAAGTTCTCCCTCCTCGTATTCTTCTTTTGGGTCCTCATCTCCAAATATGGTGATACCAGAAGGTTTGTCCTCGTCGTCAACCACATCTAACAATCACAATAACAGAAAAAAGACTTAGAAAACCATGATATTTAGGGGGCAAGGGGGAAGAGAAAACCATGTATAAGCGTACATAGCTTGAAATTTCTTAAACAGATACACACAAAAAGAAAAACTGTAAGCATAAATTCGCTGCTGGAATGATCGGGTGACAAATTGGAAGGTTAGCTTACCAAGGTAACCTGGAGGATAACCCAGTTCACGCATTCTGTGCAGCCACGGAGGTGGATCGTTTTCCTGCAAGGTTTATAAACTCAGAGAAAACTTCAGGGAGCTGAATAACCCTAGCAGTGGTGTCATTTGTTTCAGGAGCTAAAGCGACAGGCTAGCAGAACGAATTATAATGAAACAGTTTGTCTCAAATATATTATCACTTAACCCTCAGAAAGTATTGCACCACAGGTACAATCAAAGGCAGCTCAACAGTAAAATTATTCCACTTTTCCCAACAGCTTATTACAGAACTTGCAGTTCAAGAATGACCATATAATAATCATGTTGAATATGGAAATTCATAAAGAAAAAGAATTTAACTTTCAAGAATGACAAGAGATTCATGAACATAATATGAAACTTGGATTGATACAAGTTGCTATTTAATGAACTACTGATTTTTCAGTTCATATAGACTTCGGAGTATAAGTACTATATCATCAAGTTAACAAGTGTAAAGCCAAATGATTTGGCGTTTTAACTCATTTGTGTCAAACTTAACTGAAGATCGATATATGCTGGTAAACAAATATAACAAACTAGAAGACTAACCAAAACCAATACAGTTCAAGCATTAACTGGCATAAGAAATCATCAATTACCCCGATCCCCAAGCATTCCCTTGTCTCAGGTCCAAGGATTCCTGGTCTCAGATCATCAAATTTGCCTGGCGTTTTCTGGTAATATCGATTTTGTCCACGATTAACATTAGATTGGTTCCTTTTCATATTGTGTTGCTTGCGTGCATTGTTTATTGCAGCATTATCACGAGGCTTAGGGCATTCCTTCAGAGCATGACTATAAGAACCGCAGTTGAAACAGCGAGAATCATCTTTATCTGCTCTGCTGTTAAAAAAAGGTAGCTCAAGTTGAGGATTCATGCCAAGGTATAATTGAGACATCAGATAGATCATCCCAAGACATGTCAAATGTGAAGTAGCTATGAGCAATATGTTCACAAGCAAAAATAAAGGTACACGGAGTTCATGTCCTGATAAAGAGTGCAGTGAAGTAAAAAAGGCTAATACAATGAAGGATAAAAATAAATTTTTAAAAAAAAAGACATACAGGGAGAGCAGATCTCAACTCCAAAGTCATTTCATTTTTCAGATGGTGGAGCATGGATAATTTATTTTGCCTAGAAGCCCATATTAGCCCTGAACATTGGTGGTACATCTAAACAACCCCTTCACAATTGTTGGAGCTATCAGAATCAAAAATATCCTTAAAACCTTCCAGTAATTCTGTAGTTCGTTTTGGATTCTAGTCAGGGGAATATTTATAATTGTAATACTATGTTGCCGTTACAACTCCAAAGGGATTCTTTCAACTAAATGAACTTAACAATTGTTGAAATAAATAAGTGGTTCCAGACACATAAGCTAACAAAGATATAGATAAAACGGTTTAATAACTTCTACCTTTCAGTGTTTGATGGATCACCCAAAGGAGTTGAGCCCAATGTGAACTCGCGATCATATAGCGGGACCGAATCATCATCCAGAACAACACCTTCTTTTGCTTGGCTATCTACCCAAAATGACTTCTCACAAGAAGGGGAACAAAGCAAAATATTGAATTATTCGATTTCACTTAAGCAACACTATGGCATAAAAATATATGTAAATCATACAATCCAGTATGTATCCATGTCAAAGGTTCAACAAAGATCATCTCAGTACTAAACAATGGAAGACCATCTAAGCCAAAAGTAACATGCAGAAACAATACTCTGCCTGATATTATTTGTTGAGGGATGCAAATTAAACCACATGAAGAGTTGAGGGACCAAATATATATTCTTTTCCTTTCATAAACAAAAGGAAAAAACCATCTATTTTTGCAGTGAGAATGGTAAAAAGGAAGACAACAACAGAAAATAAATCACTGATGTAAATCTTCAAAACGAATGCATTGCTGATTCTTATGCACGGGTGAGTTTAATTTAACTTGTAAACGTGGCGCACTTAACACTTACCACAGCACAAGATTTCTCTGAACCAACATGTAATGCTGGATAATAAGTCTCTTCGCCACATTCTAAAACTTCTTCCCCAGCTTTCTGTATTTCCAAGAGAAAAACATAAGATAAAGATAAAGAAAAGACTATTGATAATTTTCAGTTATGTCTGCCCCTTAATCTATACTAGGTGACGTTGAAATCTATGTTCCATAAGTCATGATCTCTTCCATTCGCTATCACAAGAAAATTATATTGCGGAATTATAAAGCATTAAGAAAAGCAAAAGAAACATCAAGCAGAAGAGTTATCTGTTGATAGAACAAGAAAGATGAAAATATATTTTGGAACTGAACTAATTGTGTTTTACATTCCTTCTTTTTTTTTATGTTAATCTCTAGTTCCCAATTGCCCATAGTATAGCAGCAGAAGCAGCGTTCTCAATTTTTCGGTAGCATTGGCAGATATGCTGGCATACAAACAAAATTAATAAGAAGCAACCATACTTCAGGAAGTCATAGTACCGTCAATGTATTTTGCTTTCTGGTTTGCCACTCAGACCATTGTTGCATCAATTCCACGAGCTTTCTTTTGCTTTCCCTAGAATATTGAGAAAATACACATTAACAGTTAAAATGGCCCCCAACAAATGTTAAAGTGGCTATGCAATTGCAAAAATTTTTCATAAGGATAAAAAATGAATGCTACAAGATACAATTTGCAATCATACAAATTATTGAGAATAAAAATTCAGTTTGTGTTTAACCTTGTCAAGTTGCTGTAAATCACACGAACTGAAGGCTCAGTTGATTCTACTCGGGCTCTTTTAACTCCTCTGATTGCTAAACACACCATGTCAAGGAATAAACAGAATGAAACAACCTGATTGGTAGCAACAATGTTTTCGTCCTGGCAGTAACAGGACTACTCAGCTCTTCTGATGTGAGTACAATTCAGAAGATTCATGGAAGAATTGACTTCCAGAGAACACAAACTTGCTTGGGGAGTACATTAGAAGATAGAAATGAGACAGATTTCATATAAGAGGATACTGCTTTCATCGATAAGGATACTTTTCGATGCATGACTGCCATTCTCAAGCCCATTACCCTTATCTAGTTCAACTGAAACACCATGTAGAGTCTGTACATCTGCTACACTGGTGCTGGACTGGATAGAAGCATCCAAATACTGATGTTTTACAACTACATCATCATCTGAAAGATCCATGTCTTCCACTTGACCTTCTTCAAGATCTATAATTACATCAGGAACCTTGGTACTATCCATGGTAGTAGGTTCCCCATCCACTTGATCTTGTCCTTCAAGATCTATGATCCCATCCGAAGCCTTGGTGTTATCCACAGGACCAGACTCCCCTTCAGATGCCAATGGGTTGACTTCATTCAAATTGGGGGGTATAGTCTGAAGGTTGGTCTCTTCTTCATCTTTTGCATCAGCCTCACAAGGTTCCCCAAGACTGATGAATTCTTCCGATGCCATAGTTTCTAGGAACAGTTACACTAGGCATTCAAATAGCACACCCAGCCATCAACAGATACATCCCTTTCCTTCAATAATGACATCACAATCTGCCAAGAAAAACAACAATCAAGCCGCTGAAACCAAAACATCCTACAAAACCAGGGCAAAGAAGAACAGCTAGAAAAGTAAAAGAAGGCATCAACTTCAACTTCCTACTAAACTATGCCACAAAACATATAATGAGCTAACCAGGAAAATCCAGGGAAAACAAAATCCTGCAAGGAAAAAAATCACATTAAATCCTCATCTAACTGAATGGATTGAAGTATATCTGGGAGTAACCAAATCAAAACACAGCTGGAACTTGGAAGAATCCAAGACCAAGAGCCAATTTAGGGTTCCATACTGACAGAAGAATCAGCCTGGATGAAACTCCCGTCTACCCCTAATGTCCACCCAGTGAAGCTCTGGGAGGGGAGGCAAGTTCCTTCTTGCGGTAACAGCAGGTACCTGGGTGCTTGTCCCTGGCAGCTCACATGAGCAGAGGACTCGACGGTGATGCCAGAGTCATCAAGAGAAGAGACTGGGTATGTGCAAATGAGGGCCAGACCTAGCAAGGAGAGGGTAGGCTTGTTGGTGTTCTTTCTATTTTCCATCTTTGCTTCCACATCAGCCACAGTGAACTATCAGAACAACACCAGTTATGTTGTAATTTTGTGTTCGAATATACTTTTACAGTTATTACTTGCAACGCACGTGATTGCTTGGAAAGTTTTTACAGCTGTCAAACACGGGGTACTCTAATGGGCAGTAAAAATTTCCAAACCTGAACGATATGACAATTTTAGTTCTATATATTTTGGAGCTTCAGATGGACCTTAAAAAAAAACTCAACCAGATCTTAAATTTCAACAACTCAGTTAAATTTTGAATTCTCAAATTAAAGTGACAAAAAACAACATTTTGAACAGCAGAATAGCATTAGCCTAATTATTCAAAATACAACATCCAACTATAAAATTCTTCTTTTGCTGAAGTGTGTAGTGATAATGATCCATAAATATCTTATTCACATGCATCGACAATAGATTTTTTTTTTCAGTAGCACATCCTAGTTGTATCTCACTGGATGCTTCATTGCTTGATTCAACCAGCTAAGGGCAATGGCCACACATGCAGGTGTTGTGTTGCAGTGTGGTTCCATGTGGTCCCAACTCCCATTATCAAATAGTAATATTGGAAATAGCAAACAATCAGTTTCCCACTGGCACCTATAGATAAGCAATGCCATCTTGGGTGCACACAACACAATGCAATTTAAAATAATGCTTTCAGTTGCAAAACACTTTTGGATTACACTACTATTTTACATATTTTAGTTGGTGACATGTAAAGTGATTTTGCTATTTTACATATGGCTCTGTTTGATGGCTACCACACCATAATATGCAGCTCCAACACCAGCTTCATGGTTGGCACCTCTCCACATTGAAGTTGGAGCTGATTGGGAAGGTTCGGCAAGAAGGTTGGCTCCAACCGTACAATTCTAAGGCTTTACGAGCAAAAAGGTTAAAATTCATTGTTACCAAATTTTCAAGTAAAATTTAAATCCTAAAGGGTATCTTGTGTATTTTGTCCTTGTATACTTTTTGGTCCAGACTATGTCACAAATAATGATGCAAACGGTTTGAATTATTGTATGCAAACCCTTTTTTTTTCTCAATGTGCATAACATAAGATTCTAGATTTTTTTTCCAAAGCTGGATATTTTTTTCCAAAGCATACATATATCATGACACAAATCATCCAAGATTGAAGATGCCTGAGTAGGCTGAAACTCAACATAACAAAGATTGTATGATCATGTATGTTGCCTCATTGCGTATATGCAAGAAACTCAATGCCATTGATTCAATGGCGTCAACAAGAAAATAAACATTGATTAATGGCAAGATCATCCAAAATTGATACAGTGATCTACTAAATGCATAAATGAACCAGAACTGCATGTCCAAATTTGCATATAAATATCAAATATACCAAACAGGGAGTACTTGAATTAGGCTCAAAATTTTAATACAAGTATAGCTAATGCTCAAATATGTTTAGATATGGGCGAGCCAAGATCATTTTAGTAATGCAGAAACCTCTGCTGTGTTCATATTGCAGCAGTGTACAAAAGTATGATGAAATCAAGCAAACCATGAGCCAGAATCATAGATCATTAATGAAGGGGTATACGCCCATGGCCACAATCAGGCAGCTTGGGCAGCTTGCCGATTAATTTATAGTAGTAATGTACGCTTGACATGGATTAATCAAATATCAGCACGTGTTGAACCATTAGTTGACAGAATCAGCAAGCACTAGCATAAACACGAGGTAAAATCATAGAAGAAGATAACACGAAGAATGTACAATATGTGCGCTCAATCTGATAAAAAAACTGATGCCCATAATACCTCATCTTAAAACAGGGGCGAACCTGACGTGGGGGCATGGGGGTTCAGTTCAATCCCCCAATTCTTAAATTGTTATTATTACTAAGCTTAAGGGCAAAGAGGAAAGCAGATTCCAGCTTCCAGATCTAGGAGAGAAGCTATGGCTAAGACAAGGAGAAGGAGAAGGGTATCTGGGGGTAGTGAGAGACAGGACGCGCGTACGGGTGCTCACCGGCGAGGATGGAGCCGCCGCACGCCACCGCCCGCTGCCCGCGGGGATGGAGATCGGCGGGCGGGCGAGCTCTCGAGGAGCGCCGAGGGGGAGGGTCGTCTCGCCGGGGCCGAGCTCGCTCCTGCGGCGGCCGGGCGGCCGGTCGGCCGGCTTCTCCCCCGCCTGGTCGCGTCGGGGCTCGCCGCACAGGCCGTCTCCGGGAAGGATGTGGCGCGGCGGGGCGGCGGGCGGCGGCGGAGGAGAGGAGAGGAGAGAGCTCGGGTTTGGGGGCGGTGCTAGGGCTTCACTTGGCCTCTTCGGGTTTGGATGGAGAAGGAGAACGCAAGATGCCGGTAAAATTTTGAGTAAATTTCATCAAACCACCCCCTTCAAGTTTGGAGTTTGGAATTTGGACGGATCAAAGGTCGTCTACGTCAGTGGGACGGAAGGGGGCAGCTCCTCCGTCCGTTCCGCATCGGACGAACCAAACGAAACGAAACGAAGCGAAGCGATCGAACACCCTCAGGACACGAATCGAACACCCTTAGCTCGGCACACGGATCAATATCTGACCACGAACACCCTCAGGACTGCCCAAAACGATGCGTCGCCACTGCGAGTGTCGGAAAAGGTCCACTTCAATTACAAAATAAAGAGTAAATTTTACTTGAGGGCACATTTTATCGTTAAAGTTTCACTTTGTATCGTCTTTTAACCGATGTTTTACTTTGGATCGGGTAATTAATATTACCTTTATAGCACTTTGAACCACCATGACTCTCTGCTCAAGCATACGAACGATTTCGCGTATGTCGGTTTCTACTCATCAATGAACTTCTACAGTGGTACGTAGTACTTTTTTTTTACATATGACAAGTTAGATGTAGATGAGTAAAAGAGTTAGAAATGTTCCAAAGTGCTATAAAGATAAGATTACCCGGTCCAAAGTAAAAAACATCGGTTAAAAGATAGGCCAAAACGAAACATCAAAAGGTGGTATAAAGCATCTCTCAACTATGAAAACCAGTGTAAATCAAATCTAATCAGTGGTTTAGACAGTGATTTCATCGTGAGTGACATCCACGTGGCACTTACGGTAAGGAAAAAAGTGAAACCCACATGACAGAGGCTATGCTACCGGCTTCTTCTTCTAGCATCCACTATATCCTCTTTCCCCATCTCTCTCTACCTCTCCCCTCTCTCTTCCTTCGATGGCTCGTAGGGTTGGGCTACCTATTACCCCTGGTCGATGATAGGGCCGCACTGCCGGAACCACCCTGCAGGCGATGGAGATGGGTAAGAGAGGAGAGAGGGGATGGTGTAGGAAGAAGACAGCAGCCTATACTTCTCCCCTGACATGTGGGCCTTAGTGGGTTCTGCCCTTCTTTTTCTATTGCAAGTGCCACAAAGACACAAAGACTTAGTCAACATGCTACTTGGACAACACATAGGAGTATGACAAGATCGAGGGATCTGATTTGCACTGGTTATGATAATTGAAAAGCGCTTTTGAGCTGGTTTTGGGGTTAAAGATAATTCTCGTAGATCATCATGTGTCCAATAGGTAAGAAGAACATTTATCCGTTGAGGAAGTATTTTTCCTTTGGGTGAAACTGCCTAGGAAGGGTAGAATTTTCATCTCATATATTTAAAATCAAAGGATAGGCTTAGGAAGAGCTGAAGTTGCTTATGAAACATACATATGGTGAGAACCGAGTAAGATTACACAACTATAGTCCCACACTTGACTATCCTAATGGTTTCGTCAACCGGTAAAGATTCTTTTAATTTGATGTTAGTATAAAACTTGTAGCCCTTTAAGTTCATTGTTTTTTTTTATTTTGCTATAATTTGAGAAAATTCTTTGTGTCTCAGAGATTTTCTTCGATTGCTTATGTCTCCCTTACCTGTGTTTTTGTGATAATCCCCTTCGATGATAAGCTAACCCAGCAGTGGGCATGAAGGGACGAATTTTTTTTTTAAAAAAAGGAAACCTGGGACTATAGATGGCCAAAAGGCCCGGCCGGCATGGCCCGGCACAGGCACGGCGAGGCACGACCCACCAGCCATCGGGCCAGCACGGGCCGTGCCGGCCCATGGGCTGCGCCTCCCGCCCAGGCACGGCCCACAAGTAGCCGGGCTGTACCGGACCAGCCCGAAGGTACAGGTGGCCCATCGTGCCTTTTTTTTAAAATAAGTCTATTTTCCCTCTCTCTCTTCTTTGGGCTGTGACCTATACAGCTAAAATAAGTCTATTTTCCTTCCCTCATCTTTGGGCTGACATATATATAGCTAAAATAAGTCTATTTTACATCTCTATTTTTTCGATAGTGGCATATAATATGTTTATTTTTACTCCCTATTGTTTATGTATCGGGCCTAGCCTATGGCCCATCGTGCCGTGCCGGCCCGGCCCAACGTGCCGGTGGAGGGGCCAGGCACGGCCCGATGGTCAGGCCGGGCCGGCACGGCATGATGGGACGTAGTCTAGGCCCGACCCCGTCGGGCCGTGCCGTGCTTGGGCCGGGCCAAAATACCGTGCCGTGGGCCGGGCCATCGGGCCTCGGGCCTTTTGGCCATCTATACCTCGGACATGTAAGTAATGAGAAAATTTAGAGATAAAAAATTAGGGACTAGCTATCCATCACGCGACAGATTTTTGGGTCCAAATCACACAGATTTTAGATAGTTGGATTAGGCTCATTTGATCACTTGATTAGAAGAGTCTATACATGTATCAAAATATATTAATTATATATATTGCATATATTTTATTTATTAGATCTTTACTTCGCAAAAAAAATATCACCAACTCATCTATTAAAAGTTACAGTATAATTACACTATAGTTACAGTAGTGTAATTATAGTGTAACTATAATGTAATTACACTACACTTACATGTCATATCAACTGAACTTACAAATATAATTTTAGTTATATATGACTGTAATTTTATATTTTAGTTTCCAAATATGAGTACAGTATAATTATAATTATATGTAATTACATTACATTGTAACTTGCATGTAACTGTACGCTTCTCGTGCTTAGTCGAGGTCACGGGATTTCTCTCATCCGTATCTAAGTAGAGTTAACATTTAATCGCTTTTGTTGTATAGTAAAAACAGAAAAAGATACGTGCAAGACATCACTTGGTCACATACATGCACTGCTTCCCTGTACGTACGTATGTATCACGTACATGCATGTCCCGAACCGCTGCCACCAACGAGGATATCACGTACGAACGGCGCGCTGCACCGTTAGAAAAATCGACAAATATTAAGAAAAAAATTTGACGACAAATTTCTAGCAAAACTGAAAAATTAAACGAAAATTCAAAGACACGTAATGATTTTTCTCTTTAAACTATGATTATGATGATAAAATCCACCTAATCAAGACTCAAGAGCCATATATTTTTTGTTAGTATAAACTCCTTTTGAAATGTCCAATATAGCGATCTATGTCCACCGCTACTCTCATCCGAGCCAAAATCACCTCCTCCCACAAACCTTTTTCCGGCTTCCGCTTCTTCTCGCTTCCAAATGGTTCACACACTGCGCCACGCTAACTCTGAAACCACACTCAGTTTGCTTGCTTTCAGACAACACTCCTGACTGAAGTGCAACCTCTCACGTCGCGAGATCGGTCGGAAGAGATGAGCTGAAAACCCTATCCTTGGCCATTTTCGCCTACACATACATAAAACATATCCAAATTATCACACGGAAGCGAAACGAAACTAAACTTCAAATGAACAAGAATCGAAATTCCTGAATACGCTTATATCGATATATATACCTCCTTTTGCCAGTCTGTGCGTGATGTGATGGCCAGGAACAGCAGGGTTTGCACCGCGACGCCGCAGATGATTCCCATCCAGAGGCCCTGTTGATCAAGTGTGCTCAAGAATCAATTTGGGTCGATCGCCACAGCAACAGTTGGTCACATGATCAAAGGAGACAAGATCTGAAATGAAAATTTGAGAAGTGATCGAAGCGGCAGCCGCAGCACGTACCAACCCGCCGGCGCGCAGGACGAAGGCCGCGAGGTAGGCTGCCGGGACGCCGACGACGTAGAACGCGCCGAGGTTGATGCATGCGCCGATCTTCTGCCACCCGCAGCCTCTCGCCACACCTACACATCCAAAGGAACATTTCCCAATCTTAATTTGTTGCATTGTTTTAGGCATGTATAATGATGTTTATTAAATGATTCTCTTCGTTGATATGTAAGTAGTTTGGTGATGTAGGAAAGAGAAGAAAAGGGAAACATCATTGCACGTATGAGTCATGACAATGGTTCAAAAGGTGGCGGGGTTACAGTTGGCCAAAAGGTCCGCAACTCGACGCTACGGCACAACCCGACCAATGGGCCCTAGTTGTATAAGGCACGGCCCAAAAAAATAAGGGACACAAAATGGACTTATTTGAAACGCCCAAAGAGAGCAAGGAGTCACAATGGACTTATTCCAAAACAAGCATGATGGGCTGGCTTTGCTTTTGGGCCAGCACGGCACGGCCCGCGCCTTATTGCATTTCTGTGGGCTGACACGACACGACACGACACAAAGAGTATGTTGAGCTGTGCCGACCCAACATGCCCTAGTCATGCCCAGGCCATGCCGTGCAGTGCCGTGCCGGGTGACACATTTGGCCATCTATATTCACAACTATTTGAATGATAATTAACGCGTACCTGAGAGAACACACTGAATCCCGTCCAGGAAGTTGGAGACGGCAAGAACCAGCATCATCTTGGCAACGTACGCGACCACCTCCTCCTCGTTGCTGTAGGCGTGGCCCCACACGTAGCGCACGCACGCCAGCACCAGCGCCATGCCCAACCCTTCCAGCGTCGCCAACAACGTCACCACGCGCACCGCGAGTCGGGCGGCCCGTGGACGGCCCGCGCCGAGCTCGTTCGACACACGCGTGCTACACAAAAAACCAAAATCAGCCAGAGAATTGTACTTTTTTTTTCTCCGGCTTCTGCACTGGATTTGTACAGATATTGGAGATTTTGGTTGAGCTTTTAATTTGTTTTTCACCTTATGGCAGCGCCGAGGCCGAAGGGGATCATGAACAGGCAGTTTGCAGTGTTGAGGCTGTCAGAAAACACAATGTATTAAGTACATATGGTTATTCAGCTAAGCGAATTCAGGAACCTGAAACTATATTGAAAATTCAGATGTGTTCTGACTGATCATTACGTGATGGATAGGACGGATGTTTCCAGCTTGGGGTTCGGAAGAAGGCCGGACAGGAGCACGAGGAGCTCAAATGACCACCATTCCAAGCTGCATTTTCATTTGCAAATCCAATATATATCATCATCACTTATTCAAAGCATAAATGAGCTTAATTAATCGATCAGAGACTGTAATTAAGCTCGATTAAGTCTCACTGATGACTGACCAGACCATGAGAGCGGAAGGGATGGCGAGCCTGAAGAAGCTTAGCGGGTCACGGAAGGCCTCCATGGAGAACCCCGTCCACGTCTTCTTGCACGACCTCGACACCCTCACGTACACCGCCAGTACGCCCACGTTGATCCAGTACGACACGGCGTTGCCGAGGGCGGCGCCACGGCTGCCCATCCCGGCGGCGTGGACCAGCGCCCAGCACACGCCCAGGTGGCACAGCGCCGCCGCGCCGGCGGCCGCCATGACCGGGACCACCATGTTCTGCGTCTGCAGGAACCGGACGTGGCACTGCAGCGGGCCGTAGGCGAACAGCGCCGGGATCATCCACCGGGCGTACGCGCCGGCCTCCGCCGCGATGTCGGCGTCCTGCCCGAACAGGAGGAGGATGTCGCCGGTGTAGTACCAGGCCACGGCGAGCGGGACGCTGACGGCGGTGAGCAGCAGCATGGCGCGCTGCTTGTAGACGCCCAGGAGATGGTACTGCCGCGCGCCGAACGCCTGGCCGCACAGGGTGTCCAACGCGCTCGCCAAGCCCAGCTGAAATGGGGGTAAAAGGTGAAGTAACAATTAACAGGTGAAATGGCCGTAAAAGATTCACTAATCTGTTGCATTTTGCCACCAGTTAATGTTGTTTGTAATCAGGAAAAGTTTTGGCAAAGGAAAACTCAAAACTGAATTATATTTACAGTTGGGATGGAGTTCTGTGGAATTGCAAAATTGAATTTTCTGTCATATATAAAACATGTCCATCGAAGTTCATCCATTTTCTGTACATGAAAACATGTCTGGGATCAGGATTAATTCCCATATATAAGAACGAGATCATTGTGGGCAACAGTATGTCGATGATAAAAGAAAAAAAAAACATTAGCTGTCCAATTTTTGTTTGTTAGCACTTAGCAGCATGTAGCTTACTCAAAAAGCAGGGGTGGACCTAGACTTTAGTCAGGACCTGGGCCAGCCCATAACGATTTTAGCCCAGACATCAAATACATGGTGAAATTAGATTGGAATAAGTTCACTTAAGGTTCCTTAATTTGTCGCCCAGTCTGATTTTCGTCCTCAGCCTAGAAAACCGGATACAATGCATCCTCCAACTTACAAAACCAGTGCAAACAAGGTCCTTGGTAGTATTTGACCCCGGTTTTAGTTGACAACATTAACTGGTGTAGATCGTTCCAACATTAACTGGTATTTGACCTCGGTTTTATTTGACACTTGCGTAGATCGTTTGACTAGATCTTTGTCCTACAGGGCATTGACGTGGTGCTTACGTGGTAGTTTGATAAAAAAAAAGCAAAATTGAAAACCAAAACATTTTAAAGAATATGTGGGGCTTATATGTCAGTCAAACAAAAATAGTGAGACCCACATGTCAGTGGGTCCCACTTCCTTTACCTTATCCTCCCAAGTCCCAACCTCTGTGTTCTCTCCACCGGCGCTCTCTCCTCTCCCCACACTGGCGAGCGCGTGCAGAGGGCAAGGCGGGTAGGCGGGTAGGCCGGCAGGGCTACCAGCGCTAGGGAAGGCAGGAGCCCCATCCTTGTGTTAACAACCAAATTTGGTAAATATCGGCATTGGGAAAGAAGATTAGATTGAAGCGAAGTCAGAGGTGGAGATCGAGTTCGGAAACAGAGCAGGGATCGACTGGAGTCCGGATCGGCTACGATAAGATCGGCTGAGTCTGAGTCGGACTAGGTAAGCCGATGTAGCAGATCCTAGCAATAAAACTTGATGTGTGATGTCGGGTTGGATTGAGGTGCTTCAAGGTGATTGCCGCACAAGGATAGAGTCCTGAGGAGGCAATTGTATCTATTAATTAGGATGTTTTATGTAATTTCCTTAGAGATATGACTGGACAAAAGTATGCCGTAAAGACTTATAGTATCTTAGAGTTTGTTAGAGATAGTAGTCGTGTCCGTTATGGACATATCTTGTAATTCTTGGGTATAAATAGACCCGAGCCCTATGTAACTTTTAACACATGTTCAATACAATCTCGGCGCATCGCCACCCCTTTACTTTAGTTTTGTTTCGATGAGTTCTTGCTTTCGGGTTGAGCTGCATTAGTTTCGATCTTCAATAAGAGGTAAAACTTGTTATGACGACTTATGTTTTCGGGATTAGTGCTTCCATCTTTATGATAGTCTGATCTCGTTTATATAATTCGCCGAGCTATCATATATCTTACATAATCTCTGGCAATACCGCTATCTAATCTACAATCGGCTAACATCTATCGGTAGAAGGCAGCCGACCAGGTTAAATAGCGACGTTGACCTAAATTATATAAGATATTTACCACTTTATGAAACTTCCAGTGGTTTGATTGTCTAGATATTGTTCTTCTTTTCATACTTAATGCTGCACCAGTTAAGTTTGATCTATTAAGTCGTGCTTAGAATATCAACCTCTAGCCTGCCTTCTGGTTGCCAATTAGGGTAGCATCGGAGTTTCAGCCGATCTTATCTGATTTAACTATATTTGCTCTATATGCTTTATTGACATGTTAAATCTGCCGATGATCTGGTTTTCCCTTTCTTGCCTGCATCGGCTGGTTCCCTGGTTAGGCCGTGAAGGAGAGTTGAAGTCTTGGGGGCATGGTAGCCGATAACAGGGGGAGATAGTCCACCTCCATTTGGAATTAGGCCTGAAGCATATTCAATATTCTTGCCATTGTTATTTTGATGAGGAGGGGAGGATACTGTTGTCTGCAAAAAGGGAGCAAAAGATTGGTCAAGTAATGAATCAGCTAACTGATTATGCAATCTAGTAATGACAAAGTTTACCTGGGGTATGACGTTAGGGAATAGATCTGTCATATACATCGTAGCCGATTGATGAAATAGATGCAGCTTCCATTCACTCCACCATCTGTCAAAATTTTTGCTTCTAAATCCTGCCAACTCGATATTTTCAATGCTGCCCAGAGGAGGTCCTGGTAGGTTGAGTAGCCGATCCATCATTAGAGTGGATGTGATTTGTCCTCGGCACTGAATCTTGTCAGCAAAAAATAAGCCGATTGGAAGTTGACCCAATCCAAGTTGGGCCGAGCTCATTGGGTAATAGAACTCGTAGGAGACTTGGATGTTTCTCCCTTGATGAATGCCGACAGGAAGGATGCATGGGCTGATTGCGGCTATAAGAACTTCTTTGGATTTTTGGAATTTCTCATGATTAATATCTTCAAATCTAAAGTCTAATGGAAGTTCAAGGTCTGCTGAGTCTTCATAAGGAAACCAGATTCGTGCATCTTTCTTAAAACCTTCGTAGAAGCTGCAGAACCAGTCCTTGAGCAGCTCGGCCGACAGCTTTGCTCCAGCATCAGTTGGTGTGGATGCATATTCTCCATATGACATGCATCTGCGATGGGTGCGCTCTTCTCCGTCATCTTCCGCAATCGGCTCTGGCAGTGGGAATTCAGCTTCTGTTACAGAGGGCCGATTGACAACCTTCATGACTATCAGGTTTAACCAAGTTTGCAGCAGCCACCATGGTCCACCTGCTCCAACTACTGAGCCGACGGCTATTTTAGCCGATGCATTGTTCAACATTTGATACATATAGCCGAGAAGGATTTTTCCCAAAGGGAATTCTTTCTTTGATTCTAGGGCTTCGGCTACAAACTGCCAGTTGGTTGTAGGGCCACAGCTGGATCCACAGAAGAGGAACTTTTCCAGCCACATGAGCAAGAAAGCTACATGCTCTCGAGGGGTAACGGATCCTTGGCCCATATATGCCGCCACTTAGCCAGACCAGCCACCTATGCTTTTGATCTTGAAGTCAAATTGGTTCTTGGTGTTCATACTCATGGGGTTAGCCAATGAAGTCACATCTAATCTAGTAATCATGGTGATGTCGATTAAAGTTGGAGTCATCGGCCCTTGGTTGAATAAGAAAGCATTGATGGTATTCGACCAGAAGTAGGTGGCGGTAGCCATCAGAGGTTCATCCTTAGCAGAATTGGCTATGGTGAGAGCAAGTGCTTGGCCGATTCCAGTCTCATCCCAGTGAACTTTCTTACTAGCCGATACGCGTTGGTACCAGGTGGTCCAGCTCTTATCAGGTGTGGATTTTTCGAGAGATGGCCAAGACTTAAAGGTATTCTTCCAGTGACCCAGGTTAGGGTTGGCTAGCCTGAAGGGGATCCGGTTGGTTTCACCAATGATGAAATCAGTGGGGTCGAGATTGCCGATTGGGCCGAGAAAATAGTGGTTTTTGTGCGAAAGGCTGGGAATCGTGACTTGGTTGGAGAGATGCTACAAATCCAAGACAACTGAGAGAAAGAGAGCGATGTAAGATAGGAGAAAATCGATCTGCTGCTAAGAAAGGGGATCTAGCCGATGGGGACTTACCTCAGCATACTTGGCTGATGGCGCATCAGATGGATTGGTGGAAGACGACATCGCTGCAGGCGGAGGTCTCGCAGGAGATGAAGTCGCCCGGGAGTCGCTTTTGCGTCGGAGGAATCGCCGGAGAGAGAGAGAGGATAAAGTTTCGCTTGAGCGGTGAAAACGGAAGTCACGGTGTGAGATTTCTCGAGGGTGACGGTTAGTATTTAAAGCACGGCAATAACGGTCGGAAAACGACAAAGTGCGAAACTTGCTCGGAGTCGATTTACAGCAAATCCGAAACATTACCAATTGTTCCGGACTTGGGGGGCATGTGTTAACAACCAAATTTGGTAATATCGGCATTGGGAAAGAAGATTAGATTGAAGCGAAGTCGGAGGCGGAGATCGAGTTCGGAAACAGAGCAGAGATCGGCTGGAGTCCGGATCGGCTATGATAAGATCGGCCGAGTCTGAGTCGGATTAGGTAAGCCGATGTAGCCGATCCTAGCAATACAACTTGATGTGTGATGTCGGGTTGGATTGAGGTGCTTCAAGGTGATTGCCGTACATGGATAGAGTCCTGAGGAGGCAATTGTATCTATTAATTAGGATGTTTTATATAATTTCCTTAGAGATATGATTGGGCAAAAGTCTGCCGCAAAGACTTATAGTATCTTAGAGTTTGTTAGAGATAGTAGTCGTGTCCGTTATGGACATATCTTGTAATTCTCGGGTATAAATAGACCCGAGCCCTATGTAACTTTTAACACATGTTCAATACAATCTCGGCGCATCGCCACCCTTTTACTTTAGTTTTGTTTCGACGAGTTCTTGCTTTCGGGTTGAATAGCGACGTTGACCTAAATTATATAAGATATTTACCACTTTATGAAACTTCCAGTGGTTTGATTGTCTAGATATTGTTCTTCTTTTTATACTTAATGCTGCATCAGTTAAGTTTGATCTATTAAGTCGTGCTTAGAATATCAACCTCTAGCCTGTCTTCTGGTTGCCGATTAGGGTAGCATCGGAGTTTCAGCCGATCTTATCTGATTTAACTATATTTGCTCTATATGCTTTATTGACATGTTAAATCTGCCCTTTATGCCAAGATATTGCTGTATTTGAATATATTAGGCTTTTGCTTGATATTCTATACCTGTTTTAATATCCTGATATAAAGTAGTATCGGAGTATTAGCCGATACATGCTAGATCTATCTGATCGGCTATGCTGTAAACATATATAGTCTTGTTATTAATATATATATTTCGGTCTAAGTGATTTATACTGTCTCGGCATGGCGACCGATCTATCCCAATCACTTGATTTAAGTATATATCGATATAAGGAGCATATATCGTTAATATCTACAGCCGATCGAGTAGATTTAGTTCTTTCTTACTTATTCAAGATTGCCGATCGATACACATATGACATCGGCTCAAAGATAAATGATATGTCATCGGCTCTTTGCCGATCGGCTATCATTTATAGATTTAACCGCGATTTCTTTGCTTCTACTTCTTGTTGGTTACAGGATCAAATCAACTGGCACGCTAGCACACTCGAAGGCGAGCTTTGGACCTGCACTGGAGTTAAGCAGATCTCCCAGGCCTCGTATTTTCTGTCAACACCTTGCCGGCGGCGTCCCCGCGTCTCCACTTGTGCGGCTGCCACCTTGCTGTCGATGCCACGTCTTTCCTCATCCAGATCCGGTCCGCCTCGCCGGCGATGGGCAAAGATCCGACGGGCTCCCGCCGCTAGCGGTGTGACGCCAGCGAAGATCACTACTAGCTCTCCTCCTCCACCGCTGGCGGCGGAGACGACCACTTCGACCGCCTCCTCGACCCGCTCCTGCTCGTCATCTTCAACTTTCCTATCCCAAATCACACACATCGTGCTCGTCGGCATCATCAAGCCCATCTAGGCGCTCGTCCTGATACTCTTCCCCGCCAACTCCACCTCCATCCTCGCGGCATCTGTACCCTCCTACCCCTCCTCGTCATCGTCCTCCTTCTCTTCGCTGCTGCTCCCCAGTGACATGTCGCTCCACTCACCCTTAGAGGTGCTCCCGCCATTGACCTCTCTCCACAGGCTCCATCCGTGCTGCCCGAATCTCCTTTGCACCCCATCGCTGCCTCTCCCATCGTTTCTTCTCCTGTGTAAGGGGAGAGAGAGAACAGGGGAGAGGAGGTGGTGGTCCGCCGCTACTTCACCCGCTGTTGAGCCCCACCTGCCTGCCCTGTCCATCGCCGCTCCGCTTGCCTGCTTCGTGCGCCGCCTCTTCGCCTGCCGTTGCTCTGCCTGCTTTGTCTATGAGTGAGGAGTGAGGATGACATGGGGACCCATGTGGGCCTCACCTTTTTTAATTATTTTGTACGTGTAGCTGACATGTGGGCCCATGGTTTGAATTATTTTTCCGATTCGAATTGCCACGTAAAAGCCACGTCAATGCCACGTGGGATGAAAACCTAGTCAAATCAACCTTGTAGGCGCCACGTCAACCAAAACTGCCTTCCAAACCGCTGAGGGACCACGTTTGCACCAATTTTGACAGTTTAGGGACCGGTTGTATTAGTTTTTGGGTTCAAGGGCAAAATTCGGATTGAGTGTAAAGTTAAGGGATCTCAAATAAACTTATTCCGATTGGAATAGCTTCAATGGGCCTCCACCTCCAAGCCCAGGGCCACAGCCTGGGTGGCCCGTGGCATGGGTCCGCCCCTTAGCTTAGGAAACTGTCCTTATATAAAATTGGTAATCAGGATGTGTTTGGACGGAGGAATGGGACTAGCCTATTTTTGATAGATAGGTTGTACTAGAATAGTTCCATCCAACTATTTGGTTGAATGGTTATAATCTCAAAGCAACTCCAAAAGAGTTACTACTGGGCTCTATGTATGCCAAAATTTGCCAAACGCTGGAAAAAATACCCTCCAAGACACAAGGAGAAATGCTATCCGGATGGCCAAGACATTCGGCAGGCCAAAGCAACTCCCAGGGTGCAAAATCTGGTTAGCCTATTACGGATGGCCAAAAATTGGACCAACCCTCTCTCTTTCTCCCATGATCTTTTCCCATCTAGCTTCTCTCCCGCTCGCCTCCCGCATACACACTTGCACGGTGTCTCCAGCATGGCGGAGCTATGCCCCTCCATGGCTTCATCTGGCACTGACCAAGGTACTTTCATCCCTCGCTCCTCTTTCTCATCGACACCCCGATCCAAACATTCATCCATTCGCCAAGGACTGTTGTCCTCCTCCCTTCCCCAATATATTGAATTGTCGACTTGATCTTGGTGACACCGGCAAGGAGCAGCTCTATATGTGCACCAAGCTCCATAGGCGTCCACATGACCACACTATATTTAGAGCACCACTGCTAGCTGGAGGTAACTCTAGTAGGCAGGCAAAGCTGAGGTCGACGGGGCCAGTGTGCAACCTCGATCTAGATCTCGATGAGCCATTTGTACTAACTCATTGCCTACGCCCTACCATCAAGCTCCGGAATGCTCCTCCTCTATGCCCGCCGCCATGGTCAATGGTGTTGAGTTGTGGCGAGAGACAAAAAGAAAACAAGAGAGCAAGAAGGAGAAGAGGAGGGCAAAAAGGTTGTTGGAGCACCAGAAAATATGAAGAGAATTTTTTTTTTGGCTATCTAGCCAAATGGGCAAGTGGAGAGCAAAATTTAGAGACGCTCTCGATGATGCTCTTAGTTAACTAAATTACACGCACTTAATTTCTTGTTAGTATTAGTATTATTTAGTCATGTGGTGATCAACCATATGAACAACAATTACAATACTAATTATCACATATATGCACATATAAACCTTACACTAATTAATATACTCCAATCCACGCATGCATAAAAAGGAAATCTGTTGGCTCTTGACTTTACACGACAATCAAACATGAATATTTTTGTTTTGGTAATCTGATGATCAATTGTGAATAGAGGGAGGGAGTATTAACTAATTAACCATAAAAACGTGCTAAATATCACTGATCAAAACTAAATTCATCGTTGTTACTCTCCTGTTCCTTGTCATTAATTAGTTGTACAGTTTCTAGCAAATTTCTCTGAACGATGTCATCGTCCTAAACCTAGGAGGAGCTAGGAACTTTCCCCTTGGTAGGACGAGTCCATCTCGATCTCACCCCCACCAACCAAACACTAGGAAGTAGTCTTTCCTCCCTGTCCAAGCGTCTTTCCTCCCTGTCCAGCACTTGTTTAGGACGTCCCCGTCTCTTTCTTCCATGTCCTAGCATCCAAACACTACTTCATTTTAGAATCTACTCCCTTTGTCCTAGAACAACGAACGATTGTCCAGATTCGTTATACTAGGAGTGGTCACATCCCGTCCTAGCTAGTTTGGTTTTTTTTTTGTACGGAGGGAGTATAACTGGTGCCTATTGATTACAGATAAAACTACTAAAATCCACACTGCTAGTATGGTAGATTGGCATGTAATTGTGTGCCTAAACCAATAGTAAATATAGTACCACGTATGTATGCAGCACGGTCAAGAACTCAAGATCTTGATTTGAGGATATTGCTTGAACGTGGTCAGGCATAGCCTTTGGTTTTGTATCATGCAATTGTTTATTCCTTAATGAGAGTATTAAGAAAAAAAGGTTCAGGAACCTAACACATGGAATACAGTATGATAATCTCTGATGTTGACGGAGAGAAATACAGTGTACTGTAAGAAAAATTGTTTATTCCTTTGGTGTGATTGCTAGGAAAAGATCTAACGCGACAGTAGGTACGTACCACATGGCCCTAAAAGCAGGATATGCCAGCCTATTTTTACCATTATACAAATAAATTACCCCTACCACCGTAAAAGTTATAATACAACTAAACACATATAAACGCTTCTGTTTAATTAATCCTTCTGTCGAATAGAATTATTTTTTTCTTAACAGGGTACGGTAGAGATATTTGACATTGTTAACTTTTTATTTTACTGAAAGACAATGTTAATATTTGGCACTTCTTGATATGTAAATATATTACTTCACGAGCAATTTTAGTTATCTACTGAGAAATACCACATTTTTTCATGTAATTTGTGTTACTTTCTGATATATAATACTAAGAAGGTAGCAAAAAAAGTACAATAGTTAAAAGCACAATATCTCTCAGTATCTCCTCTCGGCATCTATATATGTAAGTACCAAAAAAATTTCCTCGCTTAAATATATATAATTAAAAAAAAGCATAATATCTCTCAGTCTCTCTTTTAAGTACCTTAAAAAAAATCTCATTGCTTAATAACTCAATATCAGGAAAACACATCATCTAGTAATTAATTAATTAATTCCAAGAACTGTAACAAAAAAGTCAAGTACAATCTTCTAAAAAAAATCTCATCGCCTAAATAATAAAAAACATAATATCTCTCAGCATCTCCTCTCGGTTTCTCTTTAAGTAAAAAAAAAATCATCGCTTAATAACTCAATATCAGGAAAACACACCGTTCAAAAAAAAAAACCGTTAAAAAAATATCAGGAAAACACAACATCTATGAATTAATACCAAGAACCATTGTAATAAAAAAAATCAAGTACAGAACTGTAACAAAAGAAATCAAATAGTACAAAAATCTTTGTCTGGGCAATGCATGGATGACAAACTAACACTGCAAAATTGAGCCATTGCACAAAAGAGTGTTACACGTACCAGGAGGCTGAAGCCGGTGACGGCGGCGAAGGAGCTGGCCATGGAGGCGCCGGCGAGGGGGAGCTCGCCGAGGTGGCCGACGAACATCACGGAGATCATCTGGATCAGGTTCTGCAGCAGGCTGCCGGCGATGAGCGGCCCGGCCAGCCGCAGCTGCCGCTTCACCTCATCGCTCGCTGTGATCTCCTCCTCCTTGCAACTCTCCGGGAGCAGCAAGGCTTCCTCCAGGCAGCTGGCCTTCTCCATGTTGGCTTCCTCCTCTCCCGTTTTGGTCTCTAGGCGATCGATCTATCTTTCTACATGCTGACATGCAAGTGTAAATTAATGGCCCACGCACACATAAACTGACAAATACTCCAATAAAACACATACAGAGAGAGAACAGAGAAGGCTCCAACAGTACAACCTCCAAGGCAACTTACTATACAAGCCCTTACATGTTGCTCCTAAATTTACCACATAGGATTATATGATGAGGTGGAGGAGAGAAGTTACGAGAGAGAGAATGAGCTATCCCTTATATATGCAAGGGGCAACCTCCACACAATCTCTAAAAAAAGTATAAGATAACGTGAGAGTAAACTAATATTGGGGTTTGAGTATTAGCTGTGATATGTTGTACTTGTTACCTCTTAATTAATGAGAATATGACATGACTTAAATTAGATGTGGCATTCACATCCACTGTAAAACTTGCCCTTAACCAGTGGAGTACTGAACCCAATGAAGCTTAGGGCAAAAGTGATCTATCAATGGGATCCACATAAATAGAATTTAACTATAGCAATCCCTACCATGTATATAAATGCAATGTATAGAATTTAACTATAGTTTTTCTTTTTTTTCTTTTTTCCTTCTCATTGTGTGAATAATGTGAATAATTGTTTGTTGATTTGATCCGTGATTTGAGAATGATGTGTAAATGATCTGTGATTTGTTGTAGTGGATGATTTGGGATGTTGATATATTGGGTTGTTGCTGTAGATAATTTGGGATGTTGAGACGTGTGAACGATCTATGATGTGTGATATGTGATTTGTGATTTATTATTTTTTAATAATTTGGAGATATTGGGCGTGAGAAAAGAAAAAAAAAGGAAAAAAAAAACCTTTAGGTGGCCGACGTTCCGCTTGCAGCAGCGCACCGGAGGCAAGCGGCTGATCCCATCGTCGAGCTTCGTCTTCACTCTTCACCCTCTCCTAGCTAGCTCCCGCACCACTACTGGCGCCGGCCACTGATCCCATCGTCAATGCAACGTACGTCCTTCCTCCGCGCTCACTAGCTGCGGGAGGCAGGCTGCTTCACAATGTGGAGCGCGTGGGGGGCAAGGGACGTACGGGAGCCTAGCTAATATGTCTCCCTAGCTGAGGCAAACCCCTCGCGCCACGCGAACGCTTTCGTAAGCCCAGGAACTCTCGATCTTCCGTTTCTCTCTTTGTTGCAAATTAACCACACGCATGACAGGTCACTTTCGGTTTGCATGCAAAAACAGCAGCCGTACGTTGGAATTTTGATATTTTCCAAACCTTTTGCTTGGCTTGGATGTAAAAAAAGTTCACTTACTTTCGATAGTGATGTGCATTCTAGAATAATCAGCAAGCAGATTTAGTTTGGGTGTTGAAAGACAGTTCACAATAAACTTTACACCAAACACTACTACAGAGAAATTGATAGTCGGTGCTGACTGGGAACTGGCCATACGTGCCAGATTTTCCAACCAGCACCCCGTAAGCGGTACTTTTGAGTAGGACCTTTTAGTTCTAGGAATAAAAAAAAATAGCTGGCTCGATGCATCGCTTCATATCAAACCAATACATCGGTTCATATCGAGTCGATGCATTGAGCAACGCTGAAACCTCGTTCAGTCCGTCCGAGCCCAATTTCTCAAATAGTTCGCAATCAATCACAAATTGTTTCTCAACATCAAAATCACATAATGAATCACAAATGATCATCTACAACCCAAGAACTAGCTATCCACCACAACATCGAAGGGAAAACCAATATAAACCAGGAAGATTGGGGGAAACCAATAAATTAACAAAGGAATCCAAAACCCTCTTGCTAGGGCCTGGGAGGGAGCCGCGACACTGGTGATGGCCACCTTCATCATCGTGGCATGTGGATATGGCTGTCGGTGCCTCCGCCATCATCGTGGTGGTCCCCCAGCAGCCGCATAAATCGGGTCGCCCTCGACCTCACGGCCTGATCCTGCCCCGAGTTTGCCGTAGCCAGTGATCCATGGCGAGGTGGAGGCCAAGGGAGCGATGGAGAGGCTACGATGTCGAAGAGGAAAGTGGAGGAGGGCACCCTCAAGTTCGTGGTCGAGCTGGCCGCCTCCAAGCTCGTGGAAGCCAAATCGAGCTGCTCCCCAGCTCGTGGCAATGAATCCGCCATCCTGGAGATGGAGGCGTTGGATGCAGCGGAGAAGAGTAGGGGCGCACAGGGCCGCGGCTAAGAGGAGGAGAGGCGCACACGCTGTGGCGGTGGAGAAGAGGAGAGGAATGGCACACGTCATGATTGTGGCTGAGGGAGGAGTTCAAGAGAGCAGACAAGAGTTGTTAAGGGCAAATGTGACTTCGATTTGAGGAATAAAAAAAACTCGAGGTAGACTCGGTTCGCCTGCTCAATTTTCTCTGAGCTGTCGGTTTCTAAGAAAAAGTGGCACCTTTAATTTATTATTGGTGTCGGATTTTTAAAAAACCGGTATCACTATTGGTGTCCGTTATTCTCTATAACCAACACCTATAGTTGCTTTAAGGTGTATATCTTTTCATCCTGTGGAGGTAGAAAAAGATCAATAGGTTTATAGAATGGCTTTCAGAAAAACTACCTAACATGGTACTGTTAGATAGATCTCCCTCCCCTTGAGCCCAACGGCTCAAGGGGACCTTGACCTGCGCCCTGATCGGGGGCGCCCAGCCCAATGGCTGGTGGGCCCCCGTCACACTGTGCCATATAAAGAGGGGTGGAGGACGGGACGACACAAGACACAAGGTTCGTCACCGCCGCTGCTCTACCCCACAAACCCTAACCGATCGAGGGGGCACAGCTAGTGACGGGAAGTCCACCGCCGCGCCACGCCTCGTCGTCGACACCGTCGCTGCCGCAACCGTATCACCGCCATCGGCACCGAGCACACCGTCGCCGCCGTCCACGTCAAGCGCGTGACGACAACGACGATGGCCGGCCGGACTTCCTCCTCCTCAACAACGACTGGTCACATCCCTAAACCCTCTCACTCCCTCTTGTTTATTCATCCATTGTTGTTCATCTATCCAAAGTGTTCTACCCGACTAGATCTAAACCTAGGTGATCCAATAGACAACCCTAACAATGGTATCAGAGCAATCCTAGCGTTTAGATTGGTTCGGGGATAGACATCCACAGAGAAGAAAGAAATCCAAAGAAGAAAAGCAAAGAAAAGTAAACGATCCAACGGATCGAAAAGAAAAACCCTAACCCTAGAACCTTACCTCGTCGCCGACCGTCGTCGACGCCGGCAAAGGGGGAAGGTGGGGAGGGCAAAGGGCACCGCCAAGGAGCTCCTCGATGGCAGCGCATGCACCCGCGGGTGCACGCGCGCGCCGGCTGGGGGCCCGCGGCGGCGCCGCCATCTCCTTCGGCCGTCGGTCTCCTCACTTCACTCGGTGGAGGGGTGAGACGGTGGGGGAGAAGAGAAAAGAGACTCACCGCCACCGCCGGCTGTCGCCGACGCGCGCGAAAGTCAACCGCTGCCGGACGTCCTCACGCCGGCGCTGAAAGAGAGAAAGGAGGGGGCGCCGCGGCACAGCCGCTCGACGGCGGCGCACTCACTCTCGAGTGAGTGCGCGCACCGGCGAGGGGGAGTGCGACGGCGCCGCCGTGCCGTCGTGCCGCCGGGCCGTGCTGCCGCCGCGCCATGGCTAGGGTTTTCGGCCGAAAGAAGAGAAGAGTGGCTAGGGTTCGGCCGGCGGCTGGGGGCTCGTGTTTTGCTCTCCCGATCTCCCCGCTCGGCCGTCCGATCAAAACCCTAGCGATCGGACGGCCGACGGCGGCCAGACCGAAATCAGCCCATGTGGGAGCGCACGGCGAGCCACTTTCCTGGCCCAGGCCCAGGTTGCGGCCTGGGGAAGGGGGAGGGGGCGCCCGCCCGCGCGCAAGGTGGCCGTGGGCCGACCAGCAAAGGCCGAAAAAGTTCATTTTAGGTCCCTCGGGGCCGAATCAAAAGAAAGGAAGTTCATTTTAAGTCCCTGTTTCAGAAGCATTTACAATTATAGTTATTAAATGTGTTTATTTCTAAGCAATTTGAACCAACGTGAAAATTGTTTAGATAACAGATAAATGTGAGAAATGCTTCTGAACATGTATTTTGTATATTTTCATGCAAATTACAATAGAATTTTGAATTGTTTTTACATGTTTTACCTCTGTTTAAATTTGAACCAACGGGAGAATTTTCACAGAGAGTAAATAACAGAGTTTTGTTACTGTTCATATGAATTGTATATAGATCTTCCGCTGCAAATAGATGAAATTGATGAAAATTAGTGTTTCTAAAATTAAATTTTGAACCAACGGGAGAATTTGATTTTAGGAACATTAATTATGTGCTATGATGTTGTAATTTTCTGACCAACGTTGATAATTGCAATGTTATAGTTATGGCTCTATGTGTTATGTCTATTTTCTGCCCAACGGTGATGTAGACTTAACACATAATATTTTTAATGTTAATTTTGTTCTCACAATACATGATTATCTCATGTGGCTACTCCTTGATGGGGTACATTAAAGATATTCCAACCCTGAAAGGAGATAACTACGAAGAATGGAAAAGAGAACTTGACCTTGCTTTTATCTTGGGAGAGGTGGACTGGGTGTTGACTACCCCATGTCCTATAGAACCTGTTGAACTTTTCAGAGGTGAAAATGAGTCAGATGCTGAATGGCAAAAGAGAGAGAGGGACAATGTTTCCCTCATCTTGTCGTATGACATTGAGCATGCGAAATGGTCCTTAGCCAACAAGAACTGTTTGACTGCTGTAAAGAACACGATTGAGCCAACCATATTGGGCTCAATCCTAGAGTATGACACCGTCTCTATGTACCTCGAAAGTATAAAGAGCCAGTTTACTGGTTCTTCAAAGTTTTATGTGACACAGGTGATAAAGCAGCTTGTGACAGAGAGGTACCATGGAGGTGGTGTAAAAGACCACATTCTTAGGATGAGCAACATAGCTTCCAAGTTGAAGCAAAAGGATTTGGGCATCTCAGATGATTTTCTGGTCCATCTGGTTATATCTTCATTGCCAAAGAGCTTTGACAACTTTACTACAAAATAAGTTCAGAGAAATGGAATCTTGAAGAGCTCATCTCTAATTGTGTGCAAGAGGAGGAAAGACTCAAAGAGACCAATGGTGGCTCCATTAACCTTGTTAAAGATAACAAGGAAAAGAGCCAGAAGTCACCCTCCTCAAAAGCTAAACAGCCTCAGCATCTGCCTCAGCAACAACAATTCACAGTTAAGACAGGTTCAGTGTCTCCACTGCAAGAAGACAGGGCATTGCAAGAAAGTTCGTCCTGACTTCCTGACAGTGATCATGGCAAAGAAAGGTGAGAACATTATTACATTTGTAAATGAATCTCATTATGATTGGTTATTCTAGATCCACATGGTGGATTGATTCTGGAGCAACTATTCATGTGTGTAATTGTTTAAAGGGATTCCGTTCATTGAGGACTATGCAAAGAAGCAAAAGATCCATTAGAGTTGCCAATGGAGTTGAAGCAAAAGTTGAAGCTGTTGGAGATCTTCGCCTAGAGCTCGCGAATGGCTTCACACTTTTACTTTGAGATGTTTTTATGTCTCTTCTTTGCAAAGAAACTTAATAAGTGTATCCAAATTGGATTTTGGTAGATATGATTGCCATTTTGGAAATGGCAAATGTGAACTATGGTATAATAATGCATGTATTGGTCTTGCTGTGTTGCAAGATCAGCTTTATTTGTTATCTCTTTCTGAGAATGTGAATGTTGTGTCCTCCTTGACAAAAGAAAAGAAATTTTGGCACTGTCGTTTAGGCCATATTTCGAGGGGGAGAATTGAGAGACTGGTTAAGATTGTAATTCTTCCTCCATTGGAGTTCTCAGTTTTAGAACAATGCATAGAATGCATCGGTGCCCAAAACACCGTATGAGCTATGGATCCTCTGTGTGTGGGGGAGTCTTGCAAAGGATAAAGTATTTAACCCAAATCTTGGGAAATTGGATCCCAAAACAGTAAGCTGCCATTTTATTGGCTATTCTGAAAGATCAAAGGGTTATCATTTCTACTATCCAAACAGTTGTGCAAAGTTTGTAGAAACGAAACATGCCGTCTTCTTGGAAGACGAAATGATTAGGGGAGCTCGGTAGTTCAAGAAATTGATCTTGAGGAGAGGCGGGTGTCTGTACCCGCTCCGTCGACTCAGGAACCTTTCTTCTCTTTACCTGCTGATGTTTTGCTTGCAATGCATGACGTTGCGGTACCAACACATGTTGTTATCTCTCCTGTGGCAACAATGAATGAAAGTGAGGAACCTGTTCTACAAGATTCAACAGAAATTATTGCCACATCAAAGGAGGAGCTGCACCAGCTTCAAACATATAATGTGCCAGAATAGGAGGCCCCTAGAAGGCCTGGAAGAGTAGCATATGGAGGATGATCCCACCTCATATGAAGAGGCCATGAGAAGCGATCGCTCATCTGAATGGTTGGAAGCCATGAAAGATGAAATGAAATCAATGAAATTAAATGATGTCTGGGATTTAGAAGAAATTCCTAAAGGAGCCAAAATAGTAGGCTGTAAATGGGTCTACAAAACCAAATATGACTCCAGAGGGAATATAGAAAAGTTTAAAGCGCGACTTGTGGCAAAAGGCTTCACGCAAAAAGAAGGGATTGATTACAATGAGACTTTTCTCCAGTCTCTTGTAAAGATTCCTTCATGATTATAATGGCACTAGTGGCACCTTATGATTTGGAATTACATCAGATGGATGTAAAAACGGAATTTCTTAATGGTGATTTGAAGAAAAAAGTATACATGGCACAACCGAAAGGTTTCGTCATGAAAGGAAATGAAAATATGGGATGCCGTCTAAAGAGATCCATTTATGGATTAAAGCAAAGCTTTGAGACAGTGCTACTTGAAGTTTGATGGAACAATAAAGAAATTTGGGTTTTCAAGAGAATATCGAGGACAACTGTATTGATTCAAAGTTAAAAATGGGAGATTCATTTTCCTAATTCTATATGTAGATGACATTCTACTGGCTAGTAGTGATGTCAATCTACTGCAGGAAACAAAGAAATTCTTGTCCTCAAACTTTGACATAAAAGACCTCGGTGAGACTTCATATGTTTTGGGCATAGAGATTCACCGAGATAGAACGAAGTATGCATTGGGATTTTCTCAAAAGGCATATATAGAAAAGGTGTTGAAGAAATTCAACGTGTACAGATGCAGTGCTACACCTGCTCCTATAGTGAAAGGCGAAAAGTATGGGGCATCGCAATGTCCTAGAAATCAGTATGAGCTCAATGAAATAAAAACAAAGCCAAATGCGTCAGCTGTAGGAAGCCTACAGTACGCGCAAGTGTGCAGACGACCTGACTTGGCATTTGTTACCGGGTTACTTGGCAGATTTCAAAGTAATCCAGGCCTAGAGCACTGGAATTGGTATAGAAAGTCTTGCGTCATTTGCAAGGAACAAAATGCCTCATGCTGTCTTACAGAAAATCAGAATCGCTCCAAATAGTGGGGTATTAAGATTCTGACTTTGCAAAAGATAATACAGAGTCAACATCGGGATACATGTTCACCCTAGCAGTAGGAGCTATTTCATGGAAAAGCTCAAAACAGATCATCACTGCAGGGTCTACTATGTATACTGAGTTTATAGCATGCTATGAGGCAACGGGGCAGGTGAACTGGCTAAAGAAGTTCATACCCGGTTTTAAAGGTGGTTGACAGTATTGAGAAACCACTAAAGTTATACTGCAATAGAGAACCCACAATAATGTATTCTCACAACAATCAGTCAAGTGGTGCTGCCAAACATATTGACATAAAATACTATGTTGTGAAAGACAAATTCCGGGATCAAACAATCAGTCTCGAGCACATTAGAACAGAAAGAATGCTCGCGGATCCGCTCATGAAAGGCCTACCTCCCAACATGTTCAAGGAACATGTAGCATGCATGGGTTTAAGGGAAGCCTTATGAATCCTGGACTATAGGGCCCAAAAGTTAATGTTTCTGAGGAGAGATGTGTATAGTGGCTGTCGAATCCATCGGTAATTAACCGTGACGATGAAACATGCTCTATATGTAAATCTGTGATGGAATAGAAAAAGCTAAAAGAAATAGTGAGATCAAGGGGGAGAATGTTAGATAGATCTCCCTCCCCTTGAGCCCAACGGCTCAAGGGGACCTTGACCTGCGCCCTGATCGGGGGCGCCCAGCCCAATGGACGGTGGGCCCCCGTCACACTGTGCCATATAAAGAGGGGTGGAGGACGGGATGGCACAAGACACAAGGTTCGTCGCCGCCGCCGCTCCACCCCACAAACCCTAACCGATCGAGGGGGCGCAGCCAGTGACGGGAAGTCCACTGCCGCGCCACTCCTCGTCGTCGACACCGTCGCTGCCGCAACCGCATCACCGCCATCGGCACCGAGCACACCGTCGCCGCCGTCCACGTCAAGCACGTGACGACAACGACGATGGCCGGCCGGACTTCCTCCTCCTCAACAACGACTGGTCACATCCCTAAACCCTCTCACTCCCTCTTGTTTATTCATCCATTGTTGTTCATCTATCCAAAGTGTTCTATCCGACTAGATCTAAACCTAGGTGATCCAATAGACAACCCTAACAGGTACCATATTTTTGTGATAGTATGAAGTTATGAAGCCGCGAAGCGTTACCACCCACTCTCCCACAACGCCCTCCTTTGATCAGGCAGGTGGATATGACCTCCAGTCCTCTTCCTCCCTTTCCCTCACAACCCGTTTGCCTTCCCTATTCGCCATATGCACATCGGCACCTTAGTTGATCCATAGCTGCAGATCGTTGTTGCTTGTTAATATCATGATCAGCAATCGTGATCGCCAACAGTAATATGGTCTGAATTGAGTCTTTAATATCCATTTGTTCTTAATAAGCCCAGTATTATTTGCCTCTCCATTTTAATTTAGATACTACTAATTAAATCTTACAAAGTTATGTATGCTATTGTTCGTTCCACCACTAATAATGATAGGCATGGAATCCTTGCTATTACTCACATAAGCATGAAAGTCGTTTTTTTTTTCAAAACATATATATACATGTGTTGATATGATTTATTATCCATGAAAAATAAAATTGTGTATATTGTGATGCTTTTTTTAACGATAAGTGTTACTTGATATGATTTATCATGTCTGACTGGCCCTGTCACTACTATACCAAATTTGACAAGACGCGTAATATATAAATATGCAGCAATATGCAAAAGCTGCTTTAAGCTTCAGGATCTGTGTACTAAATTATACCATTCATCAAGAGAAAGCACGATAACAGCAGAGATAATATATTAAATGAAGAGAGGCTATATAGCTAGGTGGTTAGTAATAGGATCCAGTATTCTCTCCCTCCGTCCTTTAAAAAAACAAAGCTAAGGCTAAATGTGACAGTCTGTCCAATTTCATTATACTAGGATATGTCATATTCAGTCCTAGGTTTATTTTTTTGGACGGAGGAAGTAATCCCCTAGCTTGCTTACGTAACAATCATCTCCATCGAGTTCATGTTGCGGTATCTGAAGGAAGAGAAGAATTGAGGGCTCTATGCTTCGCATTTGCCGCCTGTAAGATTATTTTTTTATTACATTTGACTCATGAACTAAAATAATGGCAACATCATATTAGCTAGTAAAACAATGCATATATTCACCTCTTTATCCCAATTTGTGCATAGGGTGAATGCCATGAGTAGCACGACTTGCACCAAGATGCCACAGGTGATGCCAAGCCATAGTCCCTGTAAACACATTTAATATTATTGCTACTCATAACATCAACCAATATAACCACGAAAAAATAGAACTTATAGAAATTTCAGGTAGCAAAAGATCTAGTGAGTACAGAGTATGCACCATCCCGCTGAGATGTAAGATGAAAGCTATGAGGTAAGCTGAAGGTATGCCCACAATGTAGTAGGCGCCAAGGTTAACGCAAGCTCCAATTTTCTGCCATCCGCAGCCTCTAGCCACACCTTCACAAATATATGCATTTTCAGAACACAAAATATCTTATCATTATCTATAATAATGCACAGTAATAACATTTTCACTAACTGAATTGTAATTCCTATCAAATATAAATGAACATATATAGGAATTGCAACAACAAAAGTTGTGCAATGTAGTAGTAAACACTGTACCTGAAAGGACACATTGTATTCCATCGAAGAAATTGGAGACTGAAATGACCAGCAACACCTTGCCTACATATTTGACAACCTCCTCCTCGTTGCTATAAGCATGGCCCCAGATGTTTCGCACACTGATCAGCACTAACCCTATCACCAAGCCCTCCGAGATGGCCATGAATACGGAGACCCGCACCGCTAGACAGGCTGCGTGAGGCCTCCCCGCGCCGAGCTCATTGGAGACACGGGTACTGCATTATGGATGATGAGAAACAATATTATACATGCATGCGTAGATGATGAGCACGGTTGGAGTAAAAAGTTCTAAGCTAGAAGTATGACAGTATCACACGGTCCTGCATGACGTGTATCTTGGCTATATCCCTCATCTATCCAATTTGATTTTGGTTCTATAGATGGTTGAGTGGATACAACAAGGGTTTGCCTATATTTATGTACATGATTGCAATCAATCCAATCTATCATGTTATCATCGTCCGCTATCATACTACCAGTCGTTTTTGATTTACCATGCTTTAGCTAATAATATCCACCCGCACTGCCGGCCTCTCTCGGTGGCTCTCCTCTTGCTGCGGGCCTTCCTCTACCTAGCATGACTGTCACGCCGTCTTCTCTCACTAGGTGTTGTTGCCATACTGTTCTCCCTGACCTGCGCCATATCCTCTAACAACGGCTCATCGACCGGTCTAGAAGAGAACCCCATCCAGGATGCAGCTGCCACCGCTGTGGACATGGCAGTTCGTGCCGCTTTTCGTTCGCCCCTATCAGCATCTGTAGCCAATATCATCGCAGCCTAGCTCTCATCAATGACACTACTCTGGCAGCCACGGCTGCCCTATGTGCGACCTTTCTCTGCCCTAGCCAGCTGATGGTCCCGTAGCCTTCTCCGCAATCACCATGACATCCTCTTCTATGCTTTCGGCCGCATCGGTCTTGTTCTCCTCATCCCCACCCTTGGTGTTGGTCCATCCATTGCTGCCCCAGGCGTCACTGGCTCCATCCAAATGACCTCGACGACAACACTATTTTTGTCGATCTCCACTCTCAGGCTGTTGCCATCCTCAACATCAAATCCCTAGTGCCAAGCCACCCTCGATCTCTCTTTGTCCAATTACATCAAGTGGTGTGGCTTCTTCTTCTTCACCCTCTGCAAATATATGCCCACTCAAGTCTTGATAGAAACCTACCGCCCGGATCGCATCGTCTGGATCTAGATGGATTATGTGCTCTGCTAAGCTCCTAGAGATTGCCATGACCACTAGAGCCACCGTTCGACTTGTATGGCACAAAATTGAGCACCAAGGCCTAGCAACCACCATCGATAGGCGCTAATCCTTGCGGCTCAATTCCACAGCTTGATGCAAGGAGATCTCTCCATCGTTGATGATTACCGTCGGTTGAAGGTGATGGCCAACTCTACACTGACCTCGATGAGCCTGCCTACCACATGCTCAAAGGTTTGAACCCCAAGTATGAACACCTCGTGATGATTGTCCCTATTTATAAACCGTTCACCATATTTGTCGAAGATCACTCCCAATTGCTGCTCGAGGAGATCACAAAGAGTACTCACCCAAGTGAAACCCCCAATATTTTCATCTCCTCTAATGGTGAAGATCGCATGGGTGGTGGAAATAGTGGCGGTGACCAATCTATGGTTGCCGGTAGTGATGATGGCAATAGCGGCACCAATCCAACCACCTTACCGGTTACAACAAAAATGGTGGCAACAACAATCGAAACCGTCGCTGCTGTAACAATGGAGGTAGATAGGGAAACATCGGTAGGATGAGCCAGCCATGAAGCAACGGCCCATCTCCCACCTGTTCAACTCCTCACAATTTGTGGATGGGCAACAATAACATTTGGCTTGGTCCATAATACCGCTCCCACATCCTAGGCCCTCGGCCCAACTTAGCATCTTAGCCCTAGGGCTAGCGTGGTTGGGCTGCCCCTCCTAGCCTAGAGATGAAAGGCTAGGCCACACCCAGCCTTGTGCTGGCCAACTCTTTCTTTGGTGTGCCAGACCTCCTCCAGGCTCTAGGTCAGTAGGTATCCTAGCAAGCACCATCTGATTGGTTCGGCCTCGTCTAGTGGGCTCAATAGCAGCTTGCCAATGCTTTTAGTATCACCACTGTATAGTAGCTATCCTCAAAGAATTGGTATATGGGCACTAGTGCCACCTCTCACATGATGTCAAACAGTGCTATCCTTTCTTTCACTCAACATCCTACCATCTCCATCACCCCCAAAACCTAAGATGATGAGGGTCGAGGAGTCCGTTCTCTCTCTGTTGGGACCATGTCATTGTTGTTCCCGCTATTCTGGTTTTCTTCATTGCGAACCACCACCATCTATAGATGAGTCACATCTTAGGACACATCCAACCACCTTACTCACTGCCTTTTGGTCGCCGGAGGATCGGTGTCCATCTTCCATCCCTTTCTATTTCTTGTTTCGACTAGAGAAGACGATGAACAGCGTTGATTGTTTTTTCTCCATCTTTCGTTCTTCCTGTGCATTCAAGGAAAACGGAACCCCCTCATCCGGGATTGCGTTTTGATGCACTCATCCAGTTGTGTTCACCACCAGAGCTCGCTGTTGTCGTTTCTCTCTTTATCGGTACCACGTCGTTGCTAGCTGCATTCATGTTGTTCTGATTTTCTTTGTTGTCAACCTCCACCATTTATGGACGAAGCTATTATTCCTTTCTGGTCTAGCCTAACCATGCTCCTGGACCGCTCACATTATATTGAGACCATAGGAATATGAATAGAAAAGGAAAATTCTAATTTATGTCAATGAAACGGGTAACTGTTCAGAATTAATGGATTGGATTTTCATCTTTGGGCTAAATTACGATTTTTTAATTTCTAACTAATTTCAGTTTTTTTTCCCATTTATATTTTTAATTTTAGCACTATTTGATCCATTAAAAATTGTTGTAACTTATAATATTGAATTATTTATAGCAAAATGAAAAAAAGGGATTTAGTTACATAATTTTTCTAAAATTGAATTATCATTCCGGGTTATTTGTAGTTTTATGTTGTTATTTCTATGATTATATTTTCTTCAGTCCAATTGTGATATATGGTTTAAGATTTTAATTTAATCATATTTCTTTAATTTTTTATGTTAATGAATGTTATTTAGAATGTCGCAACGCAGGCATTATATATGTACAGTTATATGCTTACGTTGCAACAACTTTCGCCACCTATATATATATATGTACATGATCGCAATTTATCCAATCTATCACGAGAGTTTTCTCTAGTATGGAGTATGATCCATGAAGGAGATTTACCTTATGGCAGAGCCGAGGCCAAAGGGGATCATCCACACCAAGGAAGCAGTGTTGAGGCTGTAAAAAAATGCAATCGCATTTGTCTCAGAGCTCAGGTAGGCATGTCATGTCGCCCCTGAAATGTCTCGTTAAAAATTGTGGTAGTAGTAGTACTAATTATCACCTGATTGATAGCACGGACGTCTGCAGCTTTGGGTTGGGAAGACGACCTGACAGGAGTACAAGGATCTCGTACGACCACATCTCCAAGCTGCAGTGCAAGTACAGTGTGTCATGAGTTGCACAACACGAGACCAGATACAAAACATTTCCAAATTAAATTTTCAAAAAGAAAAGTTTGAACATTCTGAGAGACTCCAAATTTCAAACAGAGAGGAAGTCAAGTGTACGTAAAATTATGTCACTAACCAGACCATCAGAGCGGAAGGGACAGCGAGCCTGAAGAAGCCGAGCGCGTCGCGGAAGGCCTCCGTGGAGAACCCGGTCCATGTCTTCTTGCACGAGCTCGACACCCTCACGTACACCGCCAGGATGGCGACATTGATCCAGTACGACACGGCGTTGCTCAGAGCCGCGCCCCTGTTGCCCATCCCGGCGGCGTAGACGAGCACCCAGCAGACGAGGAGGTGGCACAGCGCCGTCGCGCCGGCGGCCGCCATGACCGGGAGCACGACGTTCTGCGTCTGCAGGAACCGGATTTGGCAGTGGAGCAGGCCGTAGGCGAACAGCGCCGGGATCATCCACCGGGCGTAGGTGCCGGCCTCCGCGGCGATGTCGGCCTCCTGCCCGAAGAGGCGGAGGATGTCGCCGGTGTAGAACCAGACGACGGCGAGCGGGACGCTGACGGCGGTGAGCAGCAGCATGGCGCGCTGCTTGTAGATGCCCAGGAGATGGTACTGCTGGGCTCCGAACGCTTGGCCGCACAGAGTGTCCAACGCGCTTGCCATTCCAAGCTGACCAAGAAGACAAGTAGAATCAAATTTTCAAGGACGTTGGGGCTATGATTTGGAATATCAATGTTTTAACTAGAAAGAGTTCTGGACAGACAACATACGTGAGAGAGAATGTTTATTACTAGTGCCAAAAAAAGGGGAAAATTGGAACTAAAATCTTGTACAGTAGAGTAAATTCGACCCGAAAGATAGGATGTGCAGAGTGGCGGTCCAACACTATTGTGGTCGGGATCACTGGACCCCGGGTAGAATTCTATTTTTTGAGCTGTTTTAGCTTATAATAATTATATTATAAGCTGAAAATTATATTACTATATGTATTATTATATGTATAGGATCCCCGGTGATTTTTGTTCTGGGTTCACCACTGGACGTGCAAGTGCAATGCCTTCTGTATGGGAAATTTTAGAGGTTTCTCCCTCATCTTTTTATATCTCATGTAAATCCTCGCTCCATCTCTGGAAGAAGCTTTCTCTGCATTCGAGTTACCTGGACGGCCGCAGTCCTCTTTGCCAACACCTATGGCTACACCTTGCGCCTTGTGGTAGTGGCAGCACCCACCGGGGTGTGCAGCACAACCTGGGTTCTGCTCGCTATGGGAGATGTTCTGCCTAGCGCAGGCAGCCGGCCTAGCCGGTCGGAGGATTGGTTGGCCGACTGGGTGGTGTGCCTGCATAAGTTGGGCTAGAGGAGCCGCATGTGGAGGCAGCATTAATATTTTCGAGGGAAACCTCCGCAAAGGGCTGGGAGCTCCTGCAATTTCACTAATAGAAGAAGAGAGTTGATCTAGTTTATAAGGAAAACCAGATCGAAAATATTTACAAAAGCACGGTAAATTAAGGAAAACCAACAAAAACCCTAACATTTTCAAGGTGAGCTGACCTCGCAGACCCAGACCCTACAAGGACCAGCGGTCCAACAAGTGAAAACTCCTAAGACGAAGCCTTCAAGAAGGACATGCCAACAGAACAACGACAATGCCTGATTCAAGCGAATCCAAAGTTTTCACCTAGAGAGATCACTTGAGAAAGTGGAGAACAAAGACTCCATAGCAACGCCTTCAAGAAGGTGAACGACACCCAAAGGCGTTGCCATTGCTAGTGCCGGCAAGCTGCGCACGCCATTCACCTCGGAGTCACATGCAACCACCGCGTCCACGACGAAAACCACCCAAATGCCACCTGCACACCAAAAGACCTGCGCACGAAGTGCCACCACTAGTCCAACACCAGCCACTGATGCTGGTGCTAGGTTTTCCTAGCCGCCGGGCACCAAGCCGTCAAAGGCGTCCGTTCATTGCGCCGGTCGCTTTCCACCACCACACCACACCATGGATCTCTACATCAGGAGGAGGGAAGCAGCTCCACATAGAGAAGTGGGCCAAGCGAAGAGTAGACATAGCTCTAGCACTGCTTGCCAAGACAAGCTGCATCGCTTGTCCCGCACGGGTCTCCATGCTGGGCTGCGGAGCAAACACATCGAAACCACCGGACAACCACCAGCTGGCAATCCAACCCTCTGGAAAACCTGGACCTAGAATGGAGAAGGAAGAAGGGAGGAGAAGCCGATGGTGCCATCGGACGGCCATGCAGGTTGCCCCTACTCCGCCAAGCAACCCCCTTTGTCGCCGCCGCCATGGGGGACCCGGCCTCGCTGGATCCCATCGGAGACGTGCCGGATCTAGACATTGTGGGGCCAGATCTGGCCGTCCCCTCATCGCCTTCACCACCATCGCAACTGCTACTGCAACAGGGGATCCCGCCTCTCACGTCGGAGAGACGCCCGGATCCCGCCGGGAATACTCCCGATATGGACCTTGCATGGCTAGATCCGGTTGTACCCCTCGCCGCCTTCACCACCACCGTTGGCCCAGGAGGTGGGAGGCACCACCAGCGCCAGCGGAAAGGCGAGCCGGACGCGGGGAGGAGATGCAGGCTTGGGGGTGATGCCTCTCGGGCTGCCTATGAACTGGAAAAAAGAGGAAGGGGAAAAGAGAGGGAGGGATGAAGGAGAAGGGAGGAAAGGGTGAACTTGAGGCGGCCTTAATTGAGTGGGTGTTGATGTCGTCGCTCTAGCACATACATATCCTCACATCTACAACATATCTTCTGTGATGGGTCAAAGAGAGCTGTTACAAATGTTTGTAATTGCAATGGATGGATTTGACGGCCATTAGAGATAACCAAGATGACCAACATTCGTCACTGATATACACCTATGTAACGACTCATTAGGAGGAGCCAATACCCGTCCAATCATCGGTAAACTTAATGGCTCCTAATTTAGAGTCGTTACAGATAGTTTAGCTCAAGCTCTAAACAACTTCACCATATTGACTAAGTCCCAGCTCCTTGCCTCTCCTCCGCCACTCCTCGGCCTCTCCACTCATAGCATCTAAAAGAAGTCTCTCCACTCGCCGCTCCTCCCAACGAACCTTCATCCACACCGCTAGAGAGGAAGAAAGCTAGTGGCGACGGGCGAAAACAATCATGCTCTCGAGCTCGACACTATTGAGGATGGCCAAATTGTTGATGAGTGATTCTCGTGGACCGGATGAGTTGAGTATTGAGGTACGTTGGAACGAGGGTCTACATAGTACGACATCAAGTAGACAAAAGACAACGATTATACTGGTTCAGACCCCTTGTCAGGTAATAGCCCTAGTCCAGTTTATATGTGATTGATGATGAGGAACCACATATTACAAAGAAAGTAGACGAAACAGATGATACCGACAATATCGTAGTCGATGAGTTCGACGAGATCTTCTGGCGACTTGGCTCCGCGTACTTTGGCTTCGTAAGCTATGGTGGGTGTGTTGGCGCTGAAATTCAATGCCTTGCACCCCTCCCTAGGGGTCCCTTTCATACCGTGAATCATCTTGACCCCCAAGTAAGGCCTGGGAATATTTGATCTGGTACGGTATAACAGAAACTCTATCCCTTCCGAGTAGGACTTTGGAAATCGCTTGACTCATAGAGAAATTTTCCGTAATTTGAACGAATTCCAAACGGTGTATATGAAAACAATCCGTGTACGTGAAGGTATAACATATCGGTGTATAACACAAGTCGTGGGATAGAAGGTATGCCTTATCCGTAACCCTGACACAAATCTAGCAGCGGTGGTAGCTTGGTAATGATAGCAGCAACGGCAGGCCTCGGTAGCAATGAATCTGGCATCGACCAGCTTCAGGAGTGTGGATGCGATGCTAGCGGGCCCTCGAGAAGGGCGGATCCACTGCTGGCTAGCCTCGGAACCTGGATCCGGAAGTGGTGGGCATGGCAAGTGGTGGATTCGGTAGGGATGGCGGACAGCAACGATGCCAGCCGAGGAGGTGGAGGATCCAACAACTCCCTGTGCAAGCTCCATCTGCCACTGCTGCTCCCTCTCACCCTTTCCCTAGCAAGACAATGACGATGGCGGACCAATCGTGTAGCCAGATCTGGCTGAGGTGTCACCTTTTGTCTTCCCTGATTGCACCGCTCGTCATCCTGCTCCCTAGCTCCTTCAAAAACAACAAGGACAATGGCTGGCGAGCACAACTGTGACTGTTAAAGGCATGTCACAAGGGCCTTCGACCTTAACGTGCCAAAACCTATCCCGAGCTGAGCTAGCGAAACATGACCTGAGAAATCCTGGTTGCTGCGAAGACGATGGACTAGGGTGAGATGCCTGGCGAAGCCTAAGGTCTCTGTCCCCAATCCAAATGCCTTCGCCCTAAATCGCTAGGCTCAAGGCCCAAAGTGGCCAACGAATCAATAAAGGCCCAACTTATGGCCCAAGGAGGAGCCTAAGGTTACATTGTCTGTAATTACCCTCATAAGTGTCCCTATTATAAGAGTATCTATGTAAATTCCCCTGTGCCTAATAACCCTAAGGTGCATGAGTTTGTACTAAGCCTATAAATAAACCCCAAGGGATATGTAATGGTGGGATCCTCAAAAGTTTAATACCAATATACAGTTTTACTTTTTCACAGAGAGTGAACCACGTCCTTCGACAAATGCAGCTGTCATTCGACAACATGGACAGATCATGGCGATGACACACAGTGATGAGTGGGGATGGTGATGCGCTGGGGCTCATTTTTCCTTTTGTTTTTTTCTTTCGTTTCCTGTAAGTGACGGCTCCTCTTTTCAAGCCATTATAGATGCGAGACATGTGTAACAGGTTGGAAGTCATCGTTACAGATGATTGCCCATGTTAACGAAAAATTCTCTATAACGGCTTGCTGAGCCATTAGAGCAGCTACAATAGCACGCTATAAGCCAGCTATAAACATATTTTAAAGAGATAAAGGAAGAGAGAGAAGAGTAGCGGGCTACAGATCTGTAGACAGCTGCAGCACGGATTACAAGACGTAATGTATGTATGATAGGTGGGACTAGGTATTAATAGTATATGTCGACGGTGGATACCCGTAGACCGGATATAGAGCATATTGGGGTCCGTTGATACGAGGATCTACGTAGTACGACATCAAGCAAACAAAAAGACAAGGATTATACTGGTTCAAGCCCCTTGACAGCTAATAGCCCTAATCCAGTTGATATGGGATTATATGATGGAAACCACAGAGTGCAAAGAGAATAGCATAACTTGATGATACCGACGAGATCTAATCGAGTTGGTCCGACTAGATCTCCCGGCGACTTGGCTCCTATGCGCTTTGGCTTCGTAGGCTATGGTGGGTGTGTTGGCGGTGAGATTCGATGCCTTAGGTCTTGCCCGAGGGTCCCTTATATACCGCTGGTCAGTTGATCTCCAAGTAGAACTCGGAGATATCGGACCCCTCACGATATGGTAAAGACCCAGTATTGTCCGAGTAGAACTCTTTTCGTTCGTAGATACCATATCTACCACGTGACATATTTCCTTAATGTATACGGAAACTATCTGTATATGCGCGGGTAAACCATGTCAGTATACAACGTACATCCAAGGATAGAGGGTATACCTTATCTGTAACCCTGACAGTAGCCCACGACTTCTGCTTAAATGAACTCATGTTATCGATCGCGACTTCTGATGTCGGAATTGTTGTCGCTTTCATCTGGTCAATCTCGGTGTGAAAACCGTAGAGACAAAGAGCCATCGACAACACCGCATGAAGTTCAACGGTCATGAGTGAATTTAAATTAAAGTCTGAAGACTACAGCGCGTAACGGACCTAGAATTTTCCGGTGGCAATCTGTCTCCTTTCCTTGGAATACGCACTATCGGTAGTGCGCTTATTTAAAGGGATTTCGGAAATCCATTTTAAGTCTGTTTGCCAGAAAACTCTCCGCAAAGAAAACCCTAGCTTGCTTCTTTGCTCTTGTTCTACGGCAATCCTCCGGCGGCGATGGATCTTGAGAAGTCTACCTCAACCACCGCGTCCTTGAAGAAGCTGCAAGATGACGGTGCCCTCCCTAATCGCGGGACCATGCGGAGAGAGGTAGGAGGTATAGAACTTGAACCCATCTTGGGCCACATGGTTGTGGTCGAAGACTACATTTCTTGCGGTTTTCTTCCTTTGCGAGAAGGGCCCGGCCGAACACGCCGCTGCGATCAATGTGAGTGTACTCGATGATTCCTTTACATCTTTTTCCTCCAGATCGCGTCGTGAGTTCATGTTGTGTAGTCTCTCCCTCTGACGGACGTCATCGGGCCACTCGTGGACCACCAGGCGGCAGCGTCGTTGAAGGAGAGCGTCGCCAAGGAGGCATCTGACGCTGTTGCTGCCACCACGAGTGGTAGCAACGTCCCAAAGAAGGGAAGGAAATTCTCCTCCGTACTCAGGACCCGTTGGAAAGCGACAAACTTCGCGGTAAGCTTCTCTATCATTCCCTAGCGCGTAGTCAAAACAACTTGATCTCATACCATTTCATCTTACTCAGGACTCGGACGCGTCTCCTCCACCTCAGTGAAGGCAAAGGTTGGTGACGATCGGCGAGAAGTAAGTAAACGTTCTTGAGGTCTTGTCATTTTCGAAATTCCGATCACCTCGCCTCATGGGGAAGAGAAAAATCTTTGTAGGGCAGCGCGGGCAAAGGCGGCGCAAGGTGGAATTGATACCGCTTCCAGCGTATCCCCTGCGGCGACCTCAACAGGAGTCGTGGTCGCTACTAAGGACCAGGAAGCGGCACCGAGTGGCCCTACCGTCAGCCTCGTGCCTACTCGGGGCCCGTCCACCGATGCCCTCACCTAGGGGGAGCTCCAAGCGGAGATGGAGCGCATCCTCCAGGCCGGTGCTCGCAGCGTAGGTCGCGAGATCGAGGAGGCCAGGACAGAGGCGGCGTCGGCAAACCAGCGTGCCGACCTGCTGGCGCGCGACCTGGCGGAGGCCCGCGAGGACCTCCTAAAGATGAGGGAGCTGGTGGCCGGCAACGAGATGCAGTGGCACGGACTCGAGCACCGGATGTCAGAGCTCGAGGGCCACATGATCGACATCCGCAGTTCGCTGCGAACGTCGTTCACCAGCCTGCACCAACTCGCCGAGGAGCGTGGTGTCACGACTACCATCTCGGCGCACCCCGATGAGTTCTCGCTGACGTCGTCGCTTGTGGAACTGGCTACGGCGATGGAGGAGATTCCCTCCAAGCACGCGGCCAGTATCAGTGAGGAGACGTCCAACGGCATCTACACCAGGGCGTGACATATTTTTTTCCCTTGTACCCCTTAATCTTCATGTTGTAAAACTTTTCTGTGGATCCGAACTGCTCTTATCTGAACAGCAGTCTCCCTTGTTTTCTTAGCATGTGATTCCGAGTAATTTGTTGTTTTTGTAGATATGTTGATGCCGAGGATGTCCAGCAGCGCGGGCAGCCCGATATGCCGGTGATCATTCCGGCACTCACACTCGAGCCGTTCGTGTTTCAGGAGGAAATTAGTCAAAGCCTGTCCACGGAGGCGAACGTGGCGATGACGTCGCTAGGTTTGTATCTTGCTCTCCTTCACTCCTTATGTTCAGATTGACTTAATTATCTGTGTTCTCGAAAGAGAAGAATAGCTTGACTTAGTCTTTTCCGTGTCGGGCAGATTTCGAGAACATGTTGGCTGATCGAGATCGTCGAATCCAATATTGGAAGACGAAGCTCGAGGTGGCCGAACTCAAAAAAACCATGGTGGAGGTGAAGAAGGACCAGGCCGTGGAAGCTCTCTGAGGTCGCGAGGTGTGGTTCAACTCGTACCTCAAGCGCTACTGCACGGTGATGGCGAGGGTTTGCAAGGAGCTCCGAGTTCCCCGTGGAGATCCCGAGGAGTCGGCGGCTGGTTATATCTCGTGGTTGAATGGGGCCTGTGCACAGCTTGAAGGGATTGGCCAGCGCATCGACGATGCCCTGAAGCAGGAGTGACGTCGAGCGAGCCGCTACGCCGGAGGACATGTGCTGGCCTACATCCGAGATCACTGTCCGCAGCTGCACCTCGAGTTCCTTCGTGAAGGGTTCTCGCGTTCTCGGAGGACACCCGTGCAGATCGACGGTCTTGCGCAGTTGATGACGCCGCTTGCCGAGAAGGTTTTCCGCTCCATGGATTGGCGTTGGCCGTCCTGGTAGTCTTTGTATCCTGTAGAAAAATATCTCAAGGAAGCATGTAATATACTTTGAAGTATTTATGACTTGTAAGAAATACTTGTAAAATAGAAAAGGAATCTATCTAAGTTTTCTTACTCTGGGTATGTTGTGTATGAGTGTTTTCTCACTTTGCGACTTCGATCAGTCACTTGAGCTATACACTCTCTCAAGCCCCCAGCCTTGTCGTCGGAGAATCGTTCTCGGAGGATGAGGCTCTTAGACCCTTGACTTGCCTTGGTTGAAAAAAGCACTGACCCTAGCCCCCAGCCGTGAAGTTGGAAAACTCAATTTCCGATTACACGGCTTGGTTAATACGCACGGCGAGAACTCTTACATGACCAGGTCTTACATGGTCATTTGTCTCTACATGATCCGACAAGGCCTTATCCGCTCTGGGCGTCCCTAGCCGAAGTTCCCTTAGGTTCCTCAGATGCCTTGTCAGGACGGTGTAAAGGGACATGAGGATAGGTTTCAACTCTAGGTGTCGTCGTGGTAATGGATCGTCGAGAAGGAACATTTTGACAATATTCTTTACACGAAATAAACTTTATTGAAATCGTGAGATGTCTTACAAATATGGATTATTGATTTATACATAAAATTTACGTAATTGATCAATGTTCCATGAATTTGCTAACTCGCCGTCTGCAATCTTGAATGCACCTGGCCGCAAGACTTGCGTGATCGTGTGTGGTCCTTCCCACTTGGGTGAGAGCTTGTTGCGCCCTGCTTGACTTTGAACCCGTCGGAGCATGTAATCGCCGATCGAAAGTGTGCATGCTCTTATGCGCTTCTCGTGGTATCGGCGAAGGGCTTGCTGGTAGCTGGCTACTCTGACGGCAACTCTTTCTCGATGTTCCTCGAGTAGATTCACATCATCGCTTCGCTGCTCCTCCTATTCCTCGTCGGAGTACCTCTGTAGCTCCGTAGGGAGCATAGCCTCTGAGCCATACACGAGGAAGAAGGGTATCTCCTTATTGGATGTTGTCCGTGTGGTACGCACGGCCCATAGAACAGAGGGTAGTTCTTCGACCCACTTCTTGTCGTGTGACATGAGTCTGTCGTAGACGCGGGTCTTGATCCCTTGTAGTACTATGCCGTTTGCCCTTTCGGCCCTTTCGACCTGTCCATTGCTCTGAGGGTGAGAAACCGAGGCAAAGCAAATCTTGACTCCCAATCCAACGCAGTAATCCTAGAAGTTGGCACTGATGAACTGAGAGCCGTTATCTGTTATGATGCGGTGAGGCAATCCATATCTGCAGAATATCCCTTTGACAAACTTGATGGCATTGTCAGCCTTAATTTCCCCTGTGGGCGTCGCTTCAATCCATTTGATGATCTTGTCGATCGCCACGAATAGGAACTTGTAGCCACCCTGTCCTCGTGGGAATGGTCCGAGTATATCGAGCCCCCAGCACGAGAACGGCCAAGTGAGAGGGTTAGTCTAGAGCGCTTGCGCTGGCAGTTTTGTGTGTTTACTGTGAAATTGACAGGCTTCACACCGCTGCACCATGTCGCAGAAATCATTGAGTGCTGTCGGCCAGAAAAACCCTTGTCGAAAAGCTTTTGCTACCAGCGTCCGTCTGCCGGCATGTGACCCGCAGATCCCTTTGTGTATGTCCAGGAGGAGATGTTTGTCGTCGTCGGACGAGATGCATTTGAGAAGTACTCCATTTGGCGCCTTTTTGTATAGATCGTTGCCGATCATACAATAGATCTTAGCTTGTCGGGTTATCTTCTCAGCTTCTG